TAGACCACAGAGGCGGTGTACGGATTACAATACAGTTCAGTTGAACAGAACAAGTGTTCGGACCTCGAAATCTAGTGCGTAGTACTTGTTTTAAACGGGTTAGATATACGTCGTTCAAAAGAAAGCTTTATTACAATCACAAAAGAGTCTTACCTTCAACGCGTTGGTAGCGGCCGAGTTGACGTCAGCTACGTCAGAAAGCCACAATTCTGTGACGCAGATATTGACGAACATTGGCAAGTTGGGTGTACACAGGTTCAGGTCCAGGCTGGAAGTGGATATCGAAGTTTTATTTTATTTATTAGGACAACCAACAAGACAAACACGCATACATGGAATTACTATAACTAAAAGTGCTTAGAACTAAGTGTTGTCTGTGTTTTATAGCGTATAACGCTGCTTTGTTTTAAAGTTTTAATGCTGGGTAGTTCTACCTGTCTACCCAGTCAACAGAAATATAATATTATCACGGGTTATGAGGAATTATTTTATTTTAACCTAACCTTGGCGCAAATAGGCTTTAGGGTTTAAATTTAAAGTTTACGAGAACACTTATTTCTGCTAAATGTACAAAAATCTTATCAATTTACTTACTTGGCAAGGCAGCCGTATCCTTGCTGCAAGACCGCAGCCCAGGCCAATATCTGTCCCGTATCGTTCGCTGGGGGCCGGGCCGCCATTAGAGCCCTGGTCAGCTGGACTACCAAGTTCGCTGTCAAGTTGCTAATGTNCTGGACTGCCAAGTTCGCTGTCAAGTTGCTAATGTCTCTTGGCTTTACTTACTTGGCAAGACAGCCGTATCCCTGCTGCAAGACCGCAGCCCAGGCCAATATCTGTCCCGTATCGTTCGCTGGGGGCCGGGCCGCCATTAAAGCCCTGGTCAGCTGGACTGCCAAGTTCGCTGTCAAGTTGCTAATGTCTCTTGGCTTTACTTACTTGGCAAGACAGCCGTATCCCTGCTGCAAGACCGCAGCCCAGGCCAATATCTGTCCCGTATCGTTCGCTGGGGGCCGGGCCGCCATTAAAGCCCTGGTCAGCTGGACTGCCAAGTTGGCTGTCAAGTTGCTGATGTCTCTGGGCGCTGAGAACAACGCGTGTAGTGTGTGGAGGCAGCACGTCTTGATGTAGACGTTGTTGTGGGTCATTAGAGACAGGATCGCTTCGCAGATTGACTAGAAAAGAATTAGTATAGATGACCCACGCTGAACTGTCCCACCAAACTCAATGACAGGGGGGCGCTACCATCGTTCAACTATATGGTTTTCAACATGGCAAAAATCGGAACCAGCGATCCGGTATTGACGGTGGCGCCCCACTGTCAATGTCATGGATAGGACAGTTCAATATTTTGGAACTATACAAAAAGTTAAAATCATTGATTTTTTATATTTAAGTTTAAGTTTTCCGTCAATTTCATTATCAAAATATTAGACACGTATTTTTTAATTTATTAATCAAACATTTCATTCGTAATCACTACGGCTGGTTTTAGTGTCACGCGGACCCGCTCCGCACGGCCAATCAGTATGAACTTTTAGGGAGCGTTTTAGAGTAATGCGGTCCGGAGGAACCGCTCCGCTCCCTAGCAGTCCATACAAATCGGCTGTGCGGAGCGATCCGCACTAAAGTCCGCGTGACACTAAAACCAGCCTTCGAAGTTATGAAGCGTTGAAGTTCCGCGTGAAGTCTCAAAGTGCTACACTTTTAAGCACGCCTTGAGGTCACGGGCCTCTTCTTTTGAACTTTGGCGCGCTGTATCTCTTTCAATTTTCATTAGTTTGAAAAAGTGAAAAATACGTGTCGAGTATTTTTTGATTAACTTATCAAAAAATACTCGACACGTATTTTTCAAACCGACGGACAAATTCAAATTCTTACTTTTTTACCCAGGAAACATCCATTTTTATCTAGAAACTTCACTGCAATAACAACCAACCTTAATAAAGTCCTTGCTGAACACTGGCAGCACATCTCGCAGCATTGTCAGCGTGTGCAACACCGAGCGGTGTCCCGACAGCAGCGCTTCTGCCTTGATCTGGGATAGACAGTACTCTGCCACGCGGTTTGATGCTGGGTGAAGTTTTGGTACCTAAAAAAATTAAAAGTTTATTATAGCATCGACGTACAATCGGCGTCAAATACTTTGTAACATCCTAAGTAGCCAATAGGTTCTCAAAACGTCTTTGTTACAATAAAATTGGAATAAGGTTGTGTTTTCAACTTTTTGGTCATTTTGGGTGTCACGAACTATATGACGCTGACTGTACCTATGCGGCTTCCTCTACAGTAAAAGTTGCAGTTATGTCAAGTGCAAATGCGATAGTCTTCAGCACTTGCTCCTCACTAGATTTGATTTTGACTTACTCTGCAGGGGGCACCCATTAGTAAGCGCAAAAACGATAATCCTCATCGAGAAACGATCGCGCGACTATAAGATGTGATTTTAATTGCGCGATGCGTTCAAGTCATAACTTTTAATAGTAGAATAATACATGACTATCATAGATACAATAAAATAACTATAAATTATTAAAATAAAATATCTCTTATACCTTGACTTTTTGATCTTCAGATGGTATCATAAAGCAGCTGCCGCGCAAAACAGACGTAAGAGCATGTTGTGCTGCTTTTCGTACCTAAAATAAAAACAGTAATACTTTTTATTTCAACGAGACATCGCTCATATTTGCGCCAAAACAAAATCACCTTTGAGTACAGTTTATAAGAATAGAATAGAATAGAAAACTTTTTATTTGCAAGAAAGGTATACAAGCAGGCAAGACATAGATTAAAACAGAGAGAAATAAACAAGTGGACAATTAACTGCTTGTGCCCCTCTGACAAAAAGGCACCCGCTCAGCGTACATCAAGACCGCCAGGGCTTGTCTTGAAACTGATTTTCAGCGGGGGCCCTTATAAAGATTATTCTGCACACAAAATGCATAAGATAAATAATTGAATTGCAGTAAGATCAATAATAAAACCTTACCTTGGGTTTTGAATGCAAAGCGAATGCTAGCACTGAATCGAACACCCTCATCGTTGACGAATCACCCCACAGAGCATACTCCTGTGCTCTCAACAATACAGACAAGCAACCGATGGCACTTCTCAGCAAAGCACCGTTTTCCGACTGAGAATTCTTCTCCAGTATTTCAGTGAATATTTTTGCACAGTCCGAGAACTGTTTGCGGAGTACCGCTTGGGGTACGGACTTGATTCCCATGGAGAGAAGGGAGAGGGTGGCTACTAAGCTCTCTTCACCTTCCGATGCTTTTAGTGTCTCCATCTGAAAATAATTTAATGTAGTTTCTTTATTTATTTCCACTGTAACAGGACTTTTGGCAAGGAGTAAAAAAATCTTACGATCATCTATGGTGGAAAATTACAGCTTTTACCCAGGCAGGTACCCACAAAAAAATTAAGAATAACAGAATAATTAATTAAAAACACATACCTATTTAATTTATATAAAAATGTTAAGTGGTTATAAGTTTCATATGTCACATTTTAGTAAAACTCTAGCTCCATTTAAACAGTATAATAAATAATATTTGAAAAATTTAGTATTTTATGCTTTTGGAGTTGTTGTTTGGTTAAAAAAAATACAAAATTTTGTTACAAACCAGAGCAGCAAAATATTCAGTGGTAGATTCCTTCCCTCCCTGCTCCTTGATGACTTCTGTCACTGCTGCCAGCACAGCCAGCATCTCTTTGTGGGCAGCATTGTTCGAGTCAAACTTGTTCAGTAGCCTGGAATAACATGGTCAAACATTTATATTATTTCATACTAGGGTTGCCAGGTCCAAAAACACAAAAGCCAAACTCTGTGCTTCATTTGGCCGGACATTTTACCCTAAAAGCCGGACATGTGACTGGCCTAACAAAAGCCGGACAGGCCGGACAAGACCGTTCTGGCAACCTTAACTACTACACTTACTGCAGTGTATTGATGTTGTATGATGATTGTGGTAATACTAATTTCAGGAATATCCATTTCAAGTGCAGGTTTTAGTTATATCAGGTTTGTGTATTAAAATTATTTTTTATGATAAACATGCACTGTTTGTGGGGCAATAGGGGTCGAAAAAAATTGTTAAAATTGAGACTTTTGAGAGGTTTCGTCCACAAACATTTTCTGACGAGTAGATAAAGTGGCAGAAATGCAACAAGTAAACAAAACGCAAACAACAGAACATGGTCAGAGGGTAGGGTTAAGATTTTAGACATTTAAATTTAAATAAATGATTTCTTTAATGCATTCACATACTAAAACTTATTCTACTGCTTAATTGTATTAACTTACCTGCTAAAACTAACATTGGAGCATTGACTCCAATCTGATGCAAACGTCTGGAAAGTTTTGAACGTCCCAGACCGCATAGTCCCAGAGTATTCACTGTCTGACCCGTCTTCTCCAGTTTTTACAGACATATTCTCAAATTCCTTTGCTATTGACAACTCATTTTCGGCATCGGACTTTTGCTTGCCGAGACTATGTCCATAGGTCATGATAGCATCGTGTTTTAGCACAGCTTGTTGAGTTAAGCCTGTGTTACCTGAAAATTGAGAAGGAAACATATTTTGGTTATTCAAACCTGTTGACAGGGTTTTGTACGATTTGAAAGGATTTTAAAGGTCACCTGGATAACTAAACAGTATCTGAGTATATTATCTTTTTTGCATTAATCGTCTATTTAGCAAATAATGCCAAAAAAATAACACTTACCCAAGTTCTCTTGAAAAAATCTTGACTTGGCCATTTCTCTGTATTTCTGCATTTTAGGGTTTGACTCGGATGATTGGCCTTTTTGCCATCTCTTCCCCTTTGTTTTACCTTTAAGTTTAGACCTGAATTTTCCCATTGTTTTAGATTTTCATCAATATTTTTCACCGAAAGCACACCGCACGTGGTGACAAACTTTTGAAAAGTGAAGTTAGCTGCAAGTGATTGTCAAAATTGACAAACGAAAAGTCATAACAAACAAGATGGCAACTTGCAGAAACTAATTTTATAATGGCACGGATATATCAACGACTGCCGAAAAATTTCAGTTTACTTTATTGGACCGCACTATATAACGTTCGGTTCTATGTGATTAGGCAACTTGAATTGATGAAACATCAATAAGAGGAGGAAACGGTTTTACGTGAATTGGAACGTTATTCTCTGATTATTCTTTTCATTCACCTTCGTTCTTGTTTCATTGACGTTTTTCTTGTTTGTAAATAATAAACGCTGGAAATAGTACGCAATGTGATATTACACACATTCCTCGACCGACTGCACATTACGTAAACGATAGCCGTTGCGGTGTAATTAATTAATAGAAGTGAAACAATCATAACCTATTCGCTTGTGTTTTGCTTAGCTCTTGTGGCGAGTGTGAGTGCGATATGAGCTGAATGATGCCACCGTTTAGAAGGAAGAAGGCGTCCAAGTCATTCCCAGTCAAGGTTTGCACCTTGGACGCTGAATTGGAGTTCAATTTAGAGGTAAGAATGACTGTTGGATATGAGAGAGAGAGCTCTTAATTTTGCTGTGGAATTCATTGTGTTAATACAGTGGCCTATTTGTGAGTCATGATGTGTAAAGGGCAGGCCGTAATGCTAGTAAATTGCTGTTAACAACTGTGCTGATAGCTGTATGTTGTTGTATATTTAGAACTGATAATGCTGCTACAGTTTATGTTATCTGTCATATGGATGTAAATAAACTATGTTATGAAGTTGCACTTATAATGCAATGTTACATACTAATTTAAAAGCTAATTTATTTATATGAATTCAACTTTAATTGCTCTAATAATTTGTTTGTTGTAAATTACTGAATAAACTTGCATCCAATATCTATTGTATACAGATGGACATAAGCATTAGGTACTTTATGTTATGAAATTAATAAATAATACAAAATTTACAGTGGCGAGCAACAGGAAGAGACCTGTTTGACCTAGTATGCCGAACTATTGGTCTGAGAGAAACATGGTTCTTTGGACTCCAATTCGAAGACACAAAACACTTTATAAGTTGGTTGAAATTGGATAAGAGGGGTAACTATTATATTCTTCTAGCTACTAATAAATAATATTATAGACCTACTTCAATATTAATATTTTTATTTATCTATTATTTTAATTTGTGCCTGTTCTTTTTCAATCTTTGTTATTTGTAGTGTTCTACAGTCAAGTACCTATTCAGTTTACTCAAATATACATATGCTGTAAGTTGTTCAATGATACTTTATCAAAAATTCATTACCTCCTTATTGTACATTTGCAGTACTATCAAACTTGCACATAAATGTACTCTGTACTATAAAAAAAAGACATACACATCATTATTGTTAAATTATGTGTTTCTTATCATTTGTGATAAAATTAGAACATAATTTAGGTCATGAATTCATTCCAACCCAAGTATTATCACATTTATCACTCTTTATTGACTGACTGATTTATGTGACTAACATTTTTAAGATAAGTTTAAAAATAATTTAATTATATTTCCTATTAAATAAAGTCTGGCATGAAGCTGTGAAATCAATCCAAGTAATTAAATCAAAATAAAATCTAAATATCTGAGTTATTCATCCCTATTTTTATAGTCATTTCTCTTACCCATACAGAAATATCTTCAAGTACAGAGGGCAGCACATCAAGCTTAACCCTGCAGTCTCTTAAGTAGTTGTAACAAGGACAATTTCACCCTTCACTGCAATAAAAAATTATAGGGGAGACCAAGGAGAGTTGTAACATAGGAGAGTTTTAACAGAGGAGAGTTGTGACATTTAACTTATTAACTACTAGCGATCTCGGAACAGTGCGCATTATTTTAGTTTAAGTCTCGAGCTAACAAAAATAAATGCTGTTGTGAGCTGATAGTTATTAGGTTTCCAAAAATCAACAATGTCACAACTCTCCTCGGTCTCCCCTAGACTAGATGTGCTGTCGTCTGTCTGTCACATACAATCTGCTAACTCATTTTTTTTTTATCCACAATGAGGAAGCTCTTGGCCTGTATCTCACCTGATGGTAAGTGATGATCAGGACGAAGGTGGAAGCTAGCTTCATCCGAATCCTCAACCACAGAGGAACTGGCTATCTTATCTCTAACTGCCGGAACACAACAATGCTGTTAACATTGTTGTTATTTCTCTTCATTCCAGTGCAAGACCAATGCGTCTCCCAGATGCCGGGCACTCCGTTCATGTTGCTCTGCAAGTTGTACCCTGAAGACGTGGCCGAGGAGCTCATCCAAGAGGTCACGCAACACCTCCTGTTCCTGCAGGTCAAGCAAGCGATACTGAGCATGGACATCTACTGCCCACCGGAGGCTTCGGTGCTGTTGGCCAGTTACGCTGTTCAGGCTAAGGTAGTTGTTTTACATCGCTAATTTTTTTATATGAGATATTTTCTCTTTTATCATGCAACTAGCTCTGCCTGTAGGAAATGCAATCTCACGAGATTTTGCAGTATTGTTATTCATCTCTGATAAGCAGATTGCATACACATCACCTATATGGAAATGTTGGGTGCGGAGGGTGATTATGTGAGAAGACATTTCTGGCATAGTCACACTTGGCAACTTTCAACAATATGTACCTACCTACTTGTGCAGTACTTATTAGAAAATCAAACACTTCACTAACATTACTTTTAAGATTATAAATTGTATCCTACTAACTACTATGAACTGTAAAATTGTTTGAAATAAACGTCATTATTATTATTATTATAAACTCGCGAGATCTCGCTTGAGCCCCAATCTCGCGAGATTTGCATTGCCTATGTGCCTGTGACTTCGTATCCGTTTAAAAATTGTTTCTAATAAATGCTAACTGTCAAAAGCAAAGTTACAGTAATTGTAAAGTTTTCAGTGCACTGTGTATTGTTTTGGTAAGATTTCAAATCAATAATCCCTACGTTCACTCACGTACTAGGGAGTCCCTAGTAGCACGACTGCGAGCCCTTTCACATTTAGGCGATTTAGCAGCGCGACAAACGCGCGACAGACATGCTGCCAAAAATTTCATACTATGTGACAGCGGATGCATGCCTTCACATTATAAAAACGCCGCTGCCGCCCTGCAGTCGCGCTACTAACGTCCTAATGTGAAAACGCTCTATGAGAGTGAATTTTGCTTCTTAATTTATTACAAGGTTCAAAATCAAAGCAACCACTACCAGCCAGTGAACCTTAAGCCTTCACTATAAGGTTCTAAATCTATTCTACCCAGTACGGCGACTACGAGAGTGAACTTTGCTTCTTAATTTATTACAAGGTTCAAAATCAACACAACCACTACCAGCCAGTGAACCTTAAGCCTTCACTACAAGGTTCGAAACCCATTGTCCGCAGTACGGCGACTACGAGAGCGAATTTTACTTAATAATTTATAATAAGATTCAAAATCAACACAACCACTACCAGCCAGTGAACCTTAAGCCTTCACTACAAAGTCAAAGTCAAAATTTCTTTATTTGTTTAGACTAATAAATAGTTCTTACAAATCGTCATTTTGCTCTTAAGGAGCCTCTACATGTCTCATAATCTTTTTGCCCTATCAGCGCTTCGAGACCAACATTTGGCAAATTCTGAGAAGAAGCGCCGCAACAAACTCAGTCACCACTGTCTGCCGGTTAATATAAATAAATAGAAATAGTAGTAGTAGGTACATTCGATTCAGGAGCAGTTCACTGAATTTACCATGCATTCTTGTATGGTGTATCTTATAAGAATGGGTATACAAGATTGCGTGGTATATTAAACAAGGTAGTGACGTGCTAATATCTAGACTTACATATTAAGACACTAGTAGAAATGACTCGCATACATAAATTTGAATAACTACAAGGTTCAAAACCCATTGTCCGCAGTACGGTGACTACGACGAGAGTGCGTACAAGCCTGGCATGCTGGCGAGTGAGGACCTGCTTCCACAACGCGTCATCGACCAGTACCAGATGACGCCCGAGATGTGGGAGGACCGTATCAAGATCTGGTCAGTACCTTCATCATTAACAGGGCCCCGATTGCGCTAAATATTTTCAACTGCAACGCAACTGAACGACAAACGAAGATCAGCTGTTTTGACAAATCCGTATCGCGGTGTAGCTTCGACAGCTAGTTCAAACGAAGGTGCAACGTAAACGGAATGCAACTGCACCTCTGAGTAAAAGCTGACACAAAGCTACTTTTTCTTACACGCTAGTTAAACGCATGACGAATATTTTCTGTGTTTTAGTAATCATTTTAGTTTAAAAAATAAGGTGTTCGGAATTTCAAAGGAAAGTGCATAAATCCGTTGTTTCATCTTTGTTTGCGCGTGAACTTTACCGCGACATCGAATTGCACTTCAGCTGGAATGATAATGTAGTGTAACTGGAGTGTGGACTAGAGATGAAACGCGAATGAATTGGAGACATTACAAATTAGCGCAATCCGGGCGGTGGTCATTTAATTTCATTTAGATCGATCTACGCAGGAGCACGAATTATGAGGTAGAACAAACGGAGGATTTTTTAGCCTATAATACTCCTAATGCAGGCCAGACGGGTTAATATCAACATGACAGCATGGTCGTTGTCATTCTCATGTTAAACGACATGACAATCAGCCTTTTTCAAAAATGCAAGAAACCAGCCTATTTCAAAAATTTTACATAATCTTTGCTCTTTAACTAGCTATAGTCTGGTCTGTGAGCACGTATAATTTTATCCAATGACCCCAAGCTACCCATCCTTATCGCTCGTGCGTAATTATGTTGCTGTCGCGTTCGCACACTCACTGCGGACGCCCGTCACACAGTCGCGACAGCAATATAATTATGCGCGAGCGATAAGGATGGGTAGCTTTGGGTCATTGGACAAAATTCTACGTGCTCACAGACCGGGCTTTAGTACAGTATAACTGAAACTCACAGATGCACACAAACTCTTTATAACATCATAACTTAAATAAATAACTGTATTTATTGTCCTTATCGATGTGTCATCAACTCTCACCTTTATATGATATTTTATGCTATAAATATATTAAAAAAATATTAACCCTTAACTTATTGTAAAGTAAACAACCTGTTGAATTATTAATGTAATAGTTTGCATAGCTGTCGATATTTGTGTTAACATTCTAGCCATTAGCGCGGCTGCACGCGATCCGCATTCTTGGTCAATGTTAATAGCTGGAAAATTGCTGTTTTTGAAATGCAATATTGCAATTATATGCTAAAAATGTGTCTTTTTTTATTACCATGTTGCTCACGATAGATCAGATCCTAAGAGTATTTAATTTGCTAGTGTTGACTTCTTTTTTACCATTGAAAACAAAATGACTTTCTCTATCCCATAGGAAGAGTGACTTTATACCCGTTTTCACCATCAATCCCTAATTTTTAAGGGACCACCTATGGTAACACATAACAGGAATTTTGTTTTCATAGGGGTCACTTAAAAATTAGGGATTAATGGTGAAAACGGGCATTAGGGACTTTTTACGGCAAAGAGATCCTATGACGGGTTCGACGAAAACTGTCCCATTCGCATTCCGTCCCATTCGTATTTAGCCACATTCGCATTCGGTCACTCAATTGATTAACGTTTGCGATTTATTGAGTAAAACATGGAACATTAAGCGACAGCGCACATTGGGCGACAAAACGCGGCGACAGACGCGGCCGCAAAATGCATACGCGCGTCATTTCATATTATAGCTTGTCGTCGCGACATGTCGTGGAGTCGCAACAAAATGTGGGCTGTTACTAATGTACAATAAATGAGATTAAAACTAGAATGAAATGTTTTTTTTAAGTTATATCTTGGGAATATTGTCGTGTTTGTAATATTATAATTTATGCTGAAAATCTTTGCTCAGGTACGCGGACCACAAAGGCATGTCGAGAGATGAGGCCGAGATGGAGTACCTGAAGATAGCCCAAGACCTGGACATGTATGGGGTTAATTATTTTGCCATAAACGTAAGAATTTGTCTTTAGCTTTCCTAAATAATAAAAGTTTAGATAAGACGATGTTGAGCGTTTGTTGTAGACTTCTGATATATCTTTAAGTAATGATTTACTCATGTAATGATTTTGAAAGTATTTCTGTACAGTCAACGTCAAATACTTCGTGACATCCAAAGTAGCCAAAAAGTTCACACACGTCTTTGTTAATAAAGTTGTTTTGTCAACTTTTTGGCTACTTTTGGTGTCACCAGTTATAATTATTTGACGCTGACTGTATTGAAATATCCCGCTATCTGATAAAAGTTTCTTACATATTAAAATCCTTTTTCCAAACCTTCCAGAATAAGAAAGACACGGACCTATACCTCGGTGTAACAGCTCTAGGGCTGAACATCTACGAGAAAGACAACAAGCTGACTCCTAAAACGACGTTCCCCTGGTCGGAGATCAAGCACATATCGTTCGACGACAAGAAATTCGTCATCAAGTTCGTCGATAAGTCCGTCACGAACTTTATATTCTTCTCGCCTAAAGGCATGAACAAACTGGTCAGTGGATATTTTATTATATCTCATTCAAATAGTGTTATAAAAACGACAAAATATTACTCATAAAAAAATTTACATGTCATTAAAAATATGAAGAGTGACACAATGCATCTGAATCCTTACGCTCGACATGAGTACTGTTGCAGAACTATACATCAGCAAAGTAGTACGCCAAGCGTCAGCAAAGTAGTACGCCAAGCGTCAGCAAAGTAGTACGCCAAGCGTCAGCAAAGTAGTACGCCAAGCGTCAGCAAAGTAGTACGCCATGCGTCAGCAGTAGTACGTTAAATGTAAGCATTTGCACATCAAGCTGCATTAGTGTCACATCACACGTCAGCAATGTCATGCCACGCGTCAGCATTGCTACGCCATACGTCAACAGTAGTGTGCCAAGACTGCCAAGTGTCAGCAGTATCCCACCAAGCATCAGTAGTGTCATGCCACGCGTCAGTACTATCACGCCTCACGTGAGCCTCAATAGCAGTAGTATTGTCCTACTACAACGAACCGTCCCATCAGTGGCATTGACAGAGGGGCGCCACCGTCAATACCGAATCGCTGGTTCCGATTTTTGAGATGTTGGAAACTATACAGTGTGTTTAGGATAGGGCTAGCGATAATTTAAGGCGATGTTGTGATGTCAATTTTATCGACATGCCCTCATCGCTCGCCCTCCCCAAACACACTGTATAGTTGAACGATGGTGGCGCCCCTTGTCAATGAGTTTGGTGCAGACAGTTCAGTGTAGGTCATTTATACTACTCCAAACGACAACACTAAATAAGTCACGCGTCAGCATCACACCACTCATCAGCAACGTCCTACAGATATTAGACCTGTGCATCGGCAACCACGACCTGTACATGCGGCGCCGCAAGCCTGACACCATGGAGGTGCAGCAGATGAAGGCGCAGGCCAAGGAAGAGAAGCAGGTAAGATTCCTTTGCTGCCGTTACTAAAAGGAAAGAAATAAAAACATGTATTTGGTTCGAACATAAGTTAAATAATTTAAGAAGATACCTAGGTTTAGAACCAAAAATGGCAACCTCCCAGCAAGTGTCATGCTCTGGAGTAAAATACCTTTTTAAAGCTTGGTTTGATATCCATGGCTGTGCTTCTGACGCGTCCGACAAATCAATCAATTTTAGAAAATATTGGACACGTATTTTTTTTTTTCAAAATCAATTACAGTGCTACATCGAGTTGAAATGTCGCGTGACGTCACGATTGTGTACAATTTTTACAGACGTCATTCTAACTCGATGTAGCACTGTAAATTATGATTATAGAAAATAAAGAAAAAATACGTTTCCAATATTTTTTATTATCTTTCAGGCGTACTTTTATTTTATTACCGACGAATCATACCTATTTAATATTTATTACTATGAACTTATGTGAATTACTGAATTTATTTACTAGCGTCGACAAATCGAGCGCAACAAGCTAGCTCGCGAAAAACAATTAAGAGAGGCGGCGGAGAGAGAAAGAGCCGCTATGGAGCAACGTCTGCTACAATATCAGGAAGAGATACGGTTGGCAAACGACGCGCTGGTGAGTGTTCTATTTGATATAACAATAGATTTAGTATGGAATTTAAAATGGGTTCTATACAAATTGTGGTGCCAATAGAAAAAAAAATCAAGCACTGCCACTACAGTGCCTTATACGCCAGTTGGCGCCACCAACGAAATCCAAATGGCATTACCGATGAGCGCATCGGTGCCATTTGGATTGCGTCGTGCACCATTTGGATTGTAAGGCCCTGTCTCTTGCCAGCGGTGCCAAATCACATGAACGATCGTGTCACTCGCCGTTGGTGCCAACTCACACATAATCGTCACTCATTAGTGGCGCCAACTGATCTCCAGTTTGCGCCACTAATGAGTGTCAGTTATTATAATCCCAGCGCCGCGGTCAGAGGAGATAGCGAAACTTTTAGCGAAAACGTTAACCCTTATTACCTGACTGCGTCAGAAGGAGGGTTATGTTTTTTATAATTATTATGTTTCCAGCGCCGGTCGGAAGAAACAGCGGAGCTCTTAGCGGAGAAGGGTCGCGTAGCGGAGGAAGAAGCGTCACTCCTCGCGCAGAAGGCGGCCGACGCCGAGCGGGAGAACGCGCGTCTGCGGCTCTCCGCTATCAAGACCGAGGAGGAGAAGGTACGATCGTGAATATGTATAGTAAAATGTAATGTGTCTGTATGTCTCAATGGCAGATAGCTAGATAGATGCTCCGACGAGCTATTTTAATTTGCATGGAAAAATTTATACCCTTTAATATTGTGTAGAGGCAGGCCTGTTCATCTCCGCGAGTTTACATCGAAAACAAAACACGCACGATGGCCCACCTACAGGATACTATTCGACAAGGCCTCACATACGAGCGAACATTGACTCACGCACGCGTATTCTTGTGTATGATGGAAGAAAATAAAGAAAATGGTGTACTAAATACTGTGCAGTATTTAACTGCCTAAATAATAATAAAAACACAGAATGTACTTTTTTAAGTTGCCTCAAGACACTGAGAGGTAGTTAATATTATTCATGATAATTCATGCTAAATCATGTATTTCCTACGCCATTTTCCGCAGTTTGGCACCTCACGTCACATCATTTTACCGAAGTCAGCCCTATAGCTTCGGCGCAGTGCCGATCACTGACGTTTGTCAACAAAATGGTGCTTGACTCTTGAGACAGGCTAAATTACACCATATTGTTAATAACATTGAGCATACATTTTTTTAAATACCTTTGCGAAGTAAAACTTCTGTACGTAGTACTTATTATTATTCTGTGGTAGAGGTGGTAGCCTTAAAATTGGAATACATAAGTGTTCTCAAAAGCGCTGACAAAATGATTTTATTCTCACTACCATATCATTGATCCATTGGGTGGCCTGCCTACACTACGTCTTCTTTTACATACTGATAACTATTTTTTTAATTTAAGACAAGGCAGATATTTGACCGCAATCGCACCTGGTGTTAAGTGAGATGTAGTCTAGGATAGTACATATCTGCCCTGTAAGTGCCTATTCACTCTCGCCTTGAAAAGGTCCTATAGTGTTCAGGAAAGACAGCAGCAGCGAATTCCAGTCCCTAGCTGTTCGCATTATAAAGTAGTCGTATAATTTAAACTAGAATGTCCCTCAGAATGATTTGTCGGCCGTTTGGTGTAGTGGTTCAGAACGGACTACTATGCCGAGAGGTCCCGGGTTCGATTCCCGGCCGGGCAGAAATTGAAATGATGAATTTTAATGTCTGTGACGGGTCTGGGTGTGACTATGTACAATATTTATGTATTAAAAAAAAAAAAGTATATAAGTAGTATATCCGTTAAGCTAGCACCCATAACACAAGCATTAAGTTGCTTACTTTGGGGCTAGCTGGCGCTGTGTGAAATTGTCCAAAGATTTATTTATTTATTTAATGATTTTATTACATACCCAGGTCCACCTAGAGCGCAAAACCCGCGAAGCGGAGTTCCTCACCGCTCGCTTAGTGGAGGAATCGGAGAAACGCGCGGCGGAAGCGGAGAGGCTGCGAGCGGAGCTGTTAGCGGCACGCGCTGCGGAGAAGCAGGCTAAGGAGAAGCTACTGAACTTCTTGAGTCGCACGTCTAGTGGGTCGTTACCGCCCGTTAGCGCTGTACAGGTTAGTGACCAAATATTTTTGAGAAACGCGTAGCGGAAGCGTTCTCAGTTGTCCTCTTTAATCTAAAAATAGAAAGACAAGGGTCTTAACGCGACATTTAAGACTGAGTTACATTATGTACTCACGGCTTGACGTTTCGGCTGCTTTGCTGCAGCCAGCAAATTGGCGACTCGCGTTAAGACCCGTGTCTTTCTTTTTTGTTTGAAATGGAACGCGAAAGTTTAAAGTCTTCTTTAATCCTTCAAGCTCCGCGAATCTAGACACAATCGATAATCAATTGTTATGACATAATTAATGCCGTCTGGGACTCAATTGGTTAATCGACGCTAATACCATATGTTAGCGCGACAATAGAAGGGCTATCTTATCCCCATCTACGAGTTGGCGCCACAATCGAGTAAGGTCGTCACTTAACAGTGGCGTCAAATGCTGAACGCAAATGATGTTAGTCTTATTATGTTTTTAAGATGCCCACTACGTCTCACATAACACGAGAGAGTGCCAGATACGAGCAATATATTAAACAATCCTACTAATATTATAAATGCGAAAGTTTGGATGTCTGGATGTCATGATGTCTGGATGTTTGTTACCCTTTCATGCTAAAACTACTGAACGGATTTTGTTGAAACTTTACAGTATTATTGTTTATAACCCAGATTAACATATAGGCTATAATTTATGTCGATATGTGACAAATAAATTTCAATAAATAAATAAGACGTGACTAAAAAGCGCCATCTATCGTCATTGGTTAAAATCTACAGCGCTGGACAAACTACTGTTTTTGACGTTCGTAAATATTCATGCGGGGGAAGCCGTGAAACGCCATCTATCAACACGATATCAAACAACAGATTCAACATGATATCGAACTAAGTCGCGGGCGGCCGCTAGTAGATACATAACATCATAAGCAGCTGGCAAAAATAATGTTATATTTATGAGTGACATACAATTTATCTAAATAACTCACCCTTCTACCTTGCAGTCATCAACGGTCCCCTCCAGTCTGTTCCCATCGACCTGCTCCCTGCCCGCGGAGCTCGGGGGCGAAGTCCCTAACGGCGCGCCGCCACCGGAGCCCGAGCTAAACGCTTATCAGCTGGTGCCTGATGACTCCGACCCGCACATACATAGGCTGTCGCTGGAGATTGAGAAGGAGAGGTGAGTTCTTGTCTTTAAGAAGAATATTCAATAATTGGTCAAATAACTGCCTTGTTATGCATAAAAAATTAAAAAATATATATAAAAATCTAAAAAATATAAAAAGGGGATTTATAATTCGGGTGGTTTAATTAAGAATCTCCATTTTATATTTTTTGTCTCGAAGTCCCCCTTGGTTTAATTAGGAATCCCCTTTTATATTTTTTTGTCTCTAATGCCCTTTTTCACCATCAATCCCTAATTTTTAAGTGACCCCTATGGTAACAAATTGTATGAATTTTGTTTTCATAGGAGTCACTTAAAAATCAGGGATACTCAATACTCAATTCTTTATTGCATCCATAATGTTGCAGAGATGATTGATGGTGAAAACGGGCATAAGTCCCCCTTGGTTTAATTAAGAATCCCCTTTTATATTATTTGTCTAAAAGTCCCCCTTGGTTTAATTAGGAATCCCCTTTTATATTTTTTGTCTCTAAGTCCCCCTTGGTTTAATTAAGAAATTTAAGAATCCCCTTTTATATTTTTTTGTCTCGAAGTCCCTCTTAATTTGAACAAGATAGATACAAGATTTGTGTATTTAATTTTTTAATTTCAAAATCTCCCTTCTACATTTTGTGTTTATCTCAAGCCCCCCTTGGCTTATCTGGAATCCCCTTTGTGTATTTAGATTACATATTTTATTTTAAAATGCCCGTTTTATATTTTAATTTTTTGCTGTCTCAAAGTCCCCCTTGTTTGTGTAGTCTCTATTCATGGTTTTGAAAGGTTTGCCGCAGTCTTACATACATTATAATTAAACTATATCCATGAATATTGTTTCGGTAGCATGCTTTTAATTGCATAAAGTTATCTTTACATGTCATAGAGATAAAAAGCATATTGTATACAATCATTATGGTGGTGGTAGCTTCATTTGATGCTTTATTTATTTGATAAAATGCTTAAACACATTTTTAGGACTGTAAATATGTAGTTTGTTATTGACATATATTATTTCTCGTATATGTATATCTGAATAAAATTCAACGTAATATATCATTTATTTATGCTTGGGTAATGGGTATCATCGCTGTACTATATGGATAACATGAAGGATATTTTTTTTATCAAAATGTATGTGTTATTTATTACTGGTCACGAGCTATCTATGCAAATCACACGCAGCTACAAAAAAGGGTGAAGTAACCAAACGGCAGCGTCGTTGAACAATCACGAGCACAAAAATGTATACACTACTTAATTCCCCTGTAAATAAATTCCAATAAAAACGTGTGTATATTTTTGTATGGGGCTATAAGTGGGGCGCCGTTTGTACAGCGGGCCACAGTTCCAGTTGATTCTTTCTCGTTCTGTTCCTGATAATTCTTTGCGATAGAACGACACAAGATCGGAAATAGGTAGCTGGAACTGTGGCTCACTGTACAGTCACGAGCACAAAAATGTATACACTAATTGGTTCCCCTTTAATAATGTTTACATTTTGAGAACGTATAATTTTTCCACCTGGCCATAAATGGGGCGCTGTTGTACATTGTACAGTCACGACCACAAAAATGTATACACTACATATTTGTGACAAGATTTAAAAATGGAAACCTGTATATATTTTTGCACGTGGCCATGGTAGGGCGCTGTTGTACATTGCACAGTCACGAGCACAAAAATGTATACACTACAATTCCCCAGCACCAATTTCAATGAGAACGTGTATATATTTTTGCCCGTGGCCATAGGTGGGAGCACGACTACGGCTCCCGGCGCGGCTCGGCCGACGCGGGCGCGTGCGAGCTACAGGACGACCCGCACATACACCGCCTGTCGCTAGAGATCGAGCGCGAGAGGTCAGTGCGCACAGAATTTATAAAATCACTAGCTTTCCGCCCGCGGCTTCGCCCGCGTGGAATTTTATCTGTCACAGAAAAACTTTATCGCGCGCGTCCCTGTTTCAAAAACCGGGATAAAAACTATCCTATGTTCTTTCCCGGGACTCAAACTATCTCTATGCCAAATTTCATCAAAATCGGTTGCGAGGTTTAAGCGGGAAAGCGTAACAGACAGACAGACAGACTGACAGACAGAGTTACTTTCGCATTTATAATATTAGTTGGGATCATCACGTCTTTTAGACAGTAGCCTAACAAAACTTCAACGACAACAAAACACTGAGTTGCGATCCTATCGAGTAATCGTTCTATCAAAATGACCCTTGTGAATACGGATTTTGAACTGTTTTTCAATGGGACGACTTCTGAACGTCAGCAAGATCGTGACTGTCAAAATACGTGAATTAGGCCACAAGTTTCCATTGGAAGAGCTCGAACCTCTCAATTTTACCAGATTCAATTATTTTACGAAATGTTATAAGTATGAAGTGATACAGGCAAAAATTGACAATCTACAAGTGAAGCTACCACCACTAGTTTAACAAATGCCTAAAAAGTTATTAGATATGTGGATGTTTCATAATTAATAGGAATTATTGTGTGTCTAAGATAGGTAATAATTAAGTGAAGTAAAGCATTTCATTTGTAGTGGATTTTTTAAGAGCTGATGAAGCTGCTTTTTCTTTTACGGAATAGTCGCATCAGGTGCCTGAGGCTATTGATTTAAGCCACCAACATACCCACTTCAAGCAAAATTATTTGTTAACTGGCAACTTTGAGTGTTGCACTCAAAATTTCAACTCATATCAACGATAGAACGATTCTACAATCCATATTAATGTTTCCAGAGTGGAATACCTAGCCAAGTCTAAGCATCTCCAACAACAACTAGACGAGCTACGCTGCGAGTTCTCAGTACTTCGAGTGGACCAGTCCGTGGCCACACTAGACCGCTTGCACGAGCAGCAGGCGCGGGCGGGAGACAATAAGTACTCCACGCTGCGCAAGCTCAAGCAGGGCTCCACCAAGACCAGGGTCGCCTTCTACGAGGAGCTGTGAGGTGAGAAACGACACTATTGACAGCTATAGTCTGGTCCGTGAGCACGTAGAATTTTGTCCAATGACCCCTAGCTACCCAGCTAATCCTGCATGTGGCCTACAAGGCCATCAGCGCGGGGCAGGTATGGACCTTATGCCGCGGGGACACGGCGCACCGTAAGACTTAAGAGCGCTTTCGTGTTATTTCCAAATCCGAATCCGTTACAACACGGAGTAATCGTAGAACTATTTGTATAGTAGTTTACACACTAGATCCGAAATCCATCGTCCGATTTATCTAAAGCCCGGTCTGCGAGCACGTAGAATTTTGTTCAATGACCCCAAGCTACCCATCCTTATCGCTCGCGCGTAATTATGTTGCTATCGCGCTCGCACACTCACTGCGGGTGCCTGTCGCACAGTCGCGACAGCAATATATTTATACGCGAGCGATAAGGATGAGTAGCTACGGGTCATTGGACAAAATTCTACGTGCTCACGGACTGGGCTTTAGCCACCCATGGAAGCCAGGGGAACTATACGCTACGAACTTAGCGTCGCTATTAGTAGCCAGGCCAGGAATACAGTCTTCGTCAAATGACACCCAAAGTGGACAAGAAGTTGACAACACAACCTTATACGAATTGTAACAAAGACGTGTTGCGAACTTTTTGGCTACTTTGAGTGTCTCGAACTATTTGACGCTGCTAGATCAAGGACGGCTACACCAAGATCAGGGTCGCCTTCTACGAGGAGCTGTGAGGTGAGACCCACAGCAGTTAGCCAGGAGAACTTTATGCTGCAAATTCAGAGTCGCCTTCTACAAGAAGCTGTGAGGTGAGAATCGATGCTATACACTAATAACTGGTCTATCAGGGTAGCCAAGGAAACTATACGCAACGAGCTCAGCAGGATTACGAGAAGCGACGCTGTCTATGACAGCTGACCAGCCAGGGAAAGTACACGTTACAAGCTCAAGCAGGGCTCCACCAAGACCAGGGTCGCCTTCTACGAGGAGCTGTGAGGTGAGAAACGACACTATTGACAGCTAGCCAGACTATTACTATATGCTGCTAGATTAAAGTCCCTCTTACGAGTAGCTCTGAGTTCCAGCACATTATTTATTTAATAAAACATATCTGTCTCCCCCTTTTGCAGCAATTTGTTGTTAATAAATTTTCTCAGTCTCCCCTTTTGCAGCATTTTTTTAAATTGTCTCAGTCTCCCCCTTTCGCAGAAAACAAATTATAAAACAAGTAGTGTCTGCGTTTTACATTCTTGTAAATAATATTATACAGAAACTACTATCTAGAAACCACTGCCTGAAACCATCTAAAAATATTTTTTCTCTTATTTTCAGATGATGAAATCATCAGGAAAATGCCATTTTACAAAGTGCTGCTGCGCACAAAGTGATCCAAATGACAATGAAATTGACATTTATGTTTAGTCAACAAAGTTAGTATAACGTTATGTTGCTACCAGTCATGACTATTACAATAGTTATACTCGTAGCATGGCCACGATGACAGGTTAGTATATTTTACTTATTTCTTGTATACAATTTACGATCCCATCAAATATCCTAACCATACAATGTATTGCATACTTTAGATTAGATAGGTCTGTTTCATAGATACTTTAATATTTAAAACCGTTGCCAAATTATAATGTAAGCGTTTTAAAAATCATTATATTGATATAAATTGACTTTTACATTATTTTAAAATTGCTCTTGAGATAATTATAGTGAAATATTTCATATTAAACAGACCTAACTGATATTCAATGGATATTCAAGTTCCTACTGATATACTGTTGACTTATTACTTGGTGCCTTAAAAACGATATTTTATTGAACAAAAATATTTAATAATTTTGAATGCATTGTTATAAAATGATAAATTGTTTCTACGAAAATGTAAAGAAACATTCATGTTTTTTTTTGTTTGATCTCCATAAGAAAATGTTTATTTTAATAAATTGATCTAAAGTTTTTATCGATATATTCATAATGTTAAAATTAATAATATTTAAGCATCCAAAGATTTTGGTTGACTGAAAAATTATGAAATTATTATATTATTTAGTAATTTATACGCTTTTTATGTTAACCGTACTTTTGCTATAACGTATTCATGTATAATAGTAATAATAACAAGATCTGTATAGTTATTTTTGTACCATAATTATAAGCTTTACATGTAGAGTTGCGCGTAAATGGATAGTTTGTCTGTCGATAGTTAATCGAAAATTAGTAACATTTCGATAAAATTTACTGTCAGCAAATGGGTAGTTGATAGCACCAATCAATGGGCACACTTTATGAGCTGTTATATCGGAATTTTATTTCTGAATGCTGTGCTGTGTAAAATCACTTATTTATTGTTTTAAAAAGCAACCAAATGGTTTTGGGGTTTCGTTGAGACTTAAAATGTTTGGTTAATGGTGTCAACTACCTAATAGTATCTATGTAAAGCGTCAAATTGTTCGTGACACCCAAAGTAGCCAAGGACTTCGCAACGCATCTTTGTTACAGTTGGAATAAGGTTGTGTTGTCAACTTTTTGATTATTTTGGGTGTCACGAACTATATGACGCTGACTGTATTATCGATCGATACTATGCACTATCGATGGACAACACTATTAAAATTTTGTACAATGGACCAGTAGTGCATAGAACGTTTCTGGTTTCTAGAAATATTTATTCATAATACAGGCTCTACTCGGATTATTTATATTTTTATGTGTAACTAACTGCCCCGGCGAACTTTGTACCGCCATAAAATACCCGATGATATTAACACATCCCTATATCAGTACATATTTATCCGCCTGCATAATATTGTAATTAGCTCTTATATATTTTTGAATTTGTAAAATTGCAATAAAATATCTATGGCGAAATAATTTTCCAATGGTAATTTAGAGAAGTCACCGAAATGTGCCTCTAACAGTTCAAATTTAATACCAGACCATTCTTTTAATGTACCTTTTAGTTTGATAAGCGACTAAATAATACGAAAGTACACATGTAACGTAGTTTCTCATGTTTTGTCCCGACATACTAACTGTACCCTGACTAGAAAGCGTGACGTCTTTTTGAAAAATCGATCTTATTGAAAAATCTGTAGACATCGATTTTAGAAATAATATGTCGTGTAAGAATATTTTTTTTACTATAAAAATATTGTTATATTGAAACTACGCTTATTTAGCACTAAGAGATGGTTCCAATGGCTACATGCTTCTAGTCGGGCTATTATAAGATGTTATTCAAATTCCTGCAACGATGTTTACGTAAGAAATGTGTGTAAGGAAGAATTCACAATTATTAAGCGATTTTTTTAACAGAAATTCAACATTATTTAACATTTTCGAAGTCAGAAATCTGTGTCGAATAATATGCCAAGCACAGAGCGTCTAGCGACTACTCGTGATGTCACAGTTGTGTTCACTCAAGTCAGTATTCGTATACTTATGTCCTCTCTCACACAGCTCGAGTGCTATTGTGAGCGAAAGTGAAAAATGTCAGTTTTCGTCACAAATCTCAGTATATGGGAACACAAGCACAGGTTTTCGCTCGAGGCTATGTATAGCTAGGCTTACCACTATTTAAAAAGAAAGTGTTATGCCCGTCTCTAAAACAGGAATTTCAATCAATAACATTTTGATTTGAAAATGAGAACAACGGGTCTCTAACGCGATATTTATTAAAGTAGTTAAGTTAGTAACAGTTTGACGTTTCTGCTGTATTGCCTCAGTTGTGGTCACAAGCAGACTGATGACTCGCGGCGTCGTTTGAGTGGGTTGAAGATCTTCGGCTACCCTCAAATTCGTCGCGTTTCAGATTCGTTGTTCTTAGTCTCAAATTGAATGTAATGTAACACAAACATTTAAATCATAAATAAATAATGTGAATTCCACATGTGCCTGCTTCTCTCAAGATGTGATGAAAGTGTTCTAACGTTTACCGCGTATGTGCCTTGTATGTAAGAGTTAAGATGAATTATTTTGTAAATATATTTATAGTACCATTTTTATTCTCGTGTTTTCTTTGCCTGTTTTCTACCCCCACAAAATATTATTTTACAAGTTTACATTTTTTTTCGGGACTACACTGCAATAAAACAAGCAATTTAACATAACCGTGAGTTTAATCTTTCAAAAATATATACCACAATCTTATAACAATATACATATCTATTACAAGTCATATTATGTACATTCTAACATAGTGAGGGACAACTTCCCTTAGCTAAATTATTAAATATTACAAAGTCATACAGCTAGGTATGTTTAAATAAATTATATGCATCGACTCAATCAAATACTGAATTTTTTATTTTACATAGTTTTTCTGCAACATACTTTAAAAGCTGATAGTTCATATAAAGCAGTACTAATATTCGTTTAAACTTTGCTGCTTATTTTCATATAATAAATACTACTGCCCACAGTTTGCATGATAAATCTTTAACATCATTCAACTATTAAAGAACAGTTATTAACAAAGGACAAAACATCAATGCTATAAATAATAGTGATGTGTTCAAGTTATTTTAAAAATAATTCATGTTACGCATTTAAATGAGGGACATAATAAACACATGATTGGCTATGAACTATGTATAGCTGTAGCCAAGAGCGATAAATATACTAGTAGAGATCAAGTGAATTAGCAAAATCGTTAACAGACATTTGTGTGATTTATCAAATTATTTACAACATTATCAAATCTCTCCATAACACAATCTTAATTAAAAATGCAATCCAATACAGTTTAATCTTTTGTACGACATTTTCAACATTATTGCTGCACACTAATGACAATCATAACAGCAATCTTACGTCACTAGCAAGAAGAACCTATGCGATCAGTCAAGCGTCAGGGGGTATCCTTCCGTTTGGCCAAATTACTTTTCGCCAAATTTCACTTCGCAAACCACTTATCGCCAAAGTTTCATTTCCCAAATGAACTTTTAGCAACTGTACTTTTCGCAACTAATTCATTTGGTCAAATTATCATTTGGCAAAATTTTACTTGGCAAATGTTTATATAGCAAATGTTTTATTTCGCCAAATATTATATCCCAAATAATTTGTTTGGTCAAATTGACACTTCACATACTTACCCACCGTTACCCACAAATCAAAGCATATGGCACATGTTCATGGTTTTCACAAGAATTTTATGTAAAACAAAGAGATAGCAGAAAATAGTATAGTTGCAGAAAATAGGTATTGCAGAAAATAGTAGGTTAGGTTAGGTTAGAACAGTGACCCTTAACGCGCGAAGGCGAGCGAAGCGTGCCGCGGCAGCGGCCGCCGAGCGCTAGAATCACCTCTATTGTTAATGAATCATTTGGAAATTTCGATAAAAATAATGAAATATGAAAATTAATTAAGAACAAATTTTATATTAACTACCCACTAAACAAAATAATAACCACAAGCTAATTTGTATTCCATTTTATGCACCAATCAAATTGTTTTGTAAATAGTTTATCGTGAAATATATTTGCCAAATGAAACATTTGGCAAAACATACTTTGCCAAACAATAATTTGCTAAACAATAATATGCCAAAAACGACATTTGCGAATTAAAAGTTTGCAATAAGTTGTTTTGCCAAATGAGAATTTGCCAAATGAAAATTTGCGAAACGTTGTTTGCGATGTGATAATTTGGGAAACGTTTTTTGGCCAAACATTAGTAATCCGAGTCAGGGACATTGATGGTGCAACCATCGAACTAAGCAAATATAAGGCAATGGACAGAAACACTTCAGGGCTTATTATACAGCCTTCTATAGTTCACTCCGCTGTCGCAGAATTCGTTCATGATTATTCTGCATAGGAACAAATGGAAGACGACAATTAGAACTAAAATGGATATCCAGAATAATGGATTGAGACCACCTAAGCTGTGGCCGTGTTTGTGCATGGCTATGACATGGTGTTCATGCGCTGGGGCCTCAACTACTTCTCTCACGTGAATGGTATGCCTCAATTCTTCCATGTGCTGTTTGTCAGCTGTGACATACAATATAGCTGTGAGGGGTTCGGTTAATTTTACTGGGAAATATTTCCTGTAAGGCCCAAGTTGCACTGGCGAGTCTAAGCAGCCAGCATCACAGGCGTAGTACGTCTTATCAGAGCGATCCAGAGCCACAAAGATAGCAGCTTTGTTATCTTCCTGGACTATTACACTGATATTCACGTGAGTCATATTGCCATAGTTAAGGCGGCGGAAAAGGAAGTCTCTGTGCAGTTTGGATGGGTGTATGTTGTATTCTAGATGTTGATTGCTGAAACGTAAACTGCCAAAACTTAAAATCATCGCTTGGTTGACACCACTAGCGCCTGCATTCATGAGTTTGTAACAGCCATGCTTTTCTAAAGTCAGTAGCCATACACTTGCAACAGCATTTAGATTAGCTAAGGAATTCAAAGGTTTCCACAGATTTAATGCATCCAGAGTTGAGTGCCCTCCGTAACACCCTTCAGCATAAGTCAGTGTCCTGAGAATATCTGATCTGGTCTGTGATTTAATATGTTCTTCGTGTTCTAAGCTTCGGACTTGCGACAGAATGGCATATATTGTAGCATTTATCCTGTCTCCATTGATGATACCTTCAGCTTTTGAATCTGAAATATAAAAGCCTGTGTACCAGAGATTTTGCCATACTCTAGCATGATTTTCTTTGAGTTTTCTCACAGCAGCTGTATCTGATGTTAATGCTATGACCTTTTCCATCTCATCAATTGCCTTCTTTTCCACAATATCTTTTTGTTTTGCGTAGTCTGCTTTCTTTATAGGATTGCTGTATTGAACTGTTGTGAATATCAAAATATCTAAAGCATCACGGCCATCAACTTGAATACTGTTCCCCATTTTCCTTGATACAACTGCGACAGCAATCACATTATCACTGTCTGGTATTGTTATCATTCCTGTTACAACTTCATATTCCTTCGTATCTACCCCTTGGTGCAACTTCACCGTCTGTTTCACTGAAGTTGGCCAGTCCGAGACTCTGGGGGTAGTCAATCGCAAAGTTTTCCCAGCATTGGTTGGGTTGTTGACGAGAATCTCTTGAACAAACAAGGATGGTATAGTCCTGTGAGTGTAGTACTGGTATGTTATGTGCAAGCCTGTGTTGCTGCATTGGAATCTGTGTATTATGCCTCTTTTGTAATCGGCAACTGTGAATTCTTTCATTTCATAGTCATCAATAATGTAAAGTGGATGGTAGTACACCGGCAGAGATAAGGTCCGCCCATGTTTGATGTTGAGATGTGAGTCATGCTCCAAGGCAAGGCCAATGTATCCATTTCCAACGTAAGGCACATAGTTGTGGCTGAGCGTCGACATTGTGGCCGTCGTCTCCTGCCTCAAGTAGGCGTCGTAGTCATTCAAAGCATCTTTGAAAGGGTTTAGGAAGTTTCTTTGACATACATTTTGATGGCTAGCATCACTTTCGGAGCCGAAAAACCAGTTCAATAAGCCGGGGCCCAGATAGAGAATGAAGAAGATGCAAAATAGGACTAATATGACCAGTTTTTTTCTTGTCATGGGCCCATCCGTGATCCGGTTGAGGCGCCGCGCGAACTCCCCGGCTCTGCGACCCATATCGTTGAATTCTCCTCCAACTCTATCCATCTCAGTCACTTTAAACAGTCAACGTAGGCACACAGTTACTTCAATCTAAGTGGGACCAATTATTATTGTCATCGTAACCAACAACAAACAGTAAATTAATTGTTTGATAACACAACAAATTCGAGTCTCACTAGCCGCTTCTGATAACACTTTATGCAGGTTATACTTCACTAGCCTGTAGTAATTCTTCTATTTTTATACAATTCCTCTAGAGTAACTGAACTAATCTCTAGTAACTGGAAATAAAATTATTTGCATGGAACAATCTTGAAACGAAAAAGAAGTAAAATCGAAGTTTGTTGAACGACGAGAGAAGAAACGTCATGTGTTTGTCACATGAACGTCAAATTGAATGAATGGTAATGTCATTACGAACGAATGAATGAGTATTCACCCATCGAGCATAACAATGGAGTGGACATAAGTATTTTATAGATGACCCACGCTGAACTGTCCCGCCAAACTCAATGACAGGGGGGCGCTACCATCGTTCAACTATATGGTTTCCAACATGGCAAAAATCTGAACCAGCGATCCGGTACTGACGGTGGCGCCCCACTGTCAATGTCATCGACAGGACAGTCCAGTATTTTGGAACTATACCCCATATTCAAATTATTTATTTTCTATCCATGAACAGTGTTTCGGTAGTCCGTAGCCTTACCTAATGGTAGTTTAGTGGTCCTCTCAATCGCCTTTTACGATATTCATGGGAAGAGTGGGAGAGTGGGAGTAGTCCTATGTTGTGACTGTTGGCTTTGTCAGAGTAGGAACCCGATTCCACCTATAATATCTCCACTGGTAGGGTTACTTGAATTTTTTTTCCAGTTATAGCTACCGGTAGGGATATGTGGAATAGGGGGAATTTCATGGTATTTTCCAGAATTCTTACAAAAATATTGCTTCTATGGATTACAAAAAAAAAGACAATAGCATAATAAAACGACTCAGGCCAAATAAAACTACATTTATTGCTTAAAACATTAAACTACTACAAAATCAATATGGAATTATCACAACAGTCTATAATATCTTCTCTAAAACATGTGTAAAACGTTAAAAAGAGCACCAATATGTATGTATAATTTGTAAAAACAAAAATAGATACGAACACAAATGATATTTAATTCAAAATGTGTGAATTCGGTATATTTTTATGAAACTAATAAATGGGTCATAAAAAGGAAGAGATTCAATCATATAAATTCGCGAAAATAATAAATAAACAATATCATTTAAGTATTGCTTTTGAATAAGGCACATTGTTTATGTTCGTATAATGATATCTAATAATAAAATCCATAAAGTTATACAAAGCAAAATAAATAGGAATGTGTTGGAGAAAACCACATGCAGTAAATTCGCAATAAATAATTTATAGTAGATTATTCACAACGTTTGATGTAAATTATAATGAAAAATAAATAGTAGCTAGTATTAAAATACAATAGCAAGCTAAATAGGAAATAATTTTGATTAAAATCTATACATGAGGCAATGTAAAAGTTAGGGACAGTAGGTATTGATCAATCATTGATCAAATACTATAAATTAGAATATGCGAAATGCACAAAATAGGTTTACGAAAGATTAGGAAGTATATCATAGAAAGAGACAGTTGTACCTATCTCGCTCTCACATTGTAAGAGTGCATTTCCACTGGTGCGCATCTGAGCTTCGTTTAACTCCACATAAATTCATACACACCTTAAGAAATATTCGAGCGAGAGGTGTTTTCATTTGTCTTGCCTCTCACTAATTATTTTCTTTCTTTTTCTTTTCTGAAACTGCGAGTACTATGGATTCTAATACTGTCGTCACGTTTACAAGAGATCTATGATTTATACAATATGCAATAAGATATCACTAAAGCCATACATTACAACATTAACACAACACAGTTAAAAATATTTATAGAAGATAGTTAAATAGATAGTCACTAATTTATTAATATCTAGTCGGAAAAAACTGCACCAAAATTCAATATCACTCATTTTGGCAGTCGAGTAAATATTGGAGAGATATATTTAAAGTCCATTGATGCAGTTTTAGTACATAATAAAAAATAAATAGAAATATTAAACTTGACTCCATGAGAATATAAATTCCATATAAAAATAGTTTTATAGCCAATTCCAAAATACATTTTCAAATCAATAATACTGGAAGAGGAATGTAGTAAAATTTTAAGAAATAAATAATTATTATAAAAGTAAAGCGCGACAAAAATGTTATGAAGTGGATGTACCACAGAAAAGTTAAATATAATTTATTTAAAAAAAACCGTTCTTATTAGGAACAAAATCTACAAACTATTATTTAAAAAATCAAAGAAACTTCAGCTTTTAAATAAGATAGTTGAATAAGCTAATTAGTTAAATAAGTCATTACATTAACCACAATAACTTTTGTCTATGACATTAAGGTGTAAATTGCCGTCAATAATTATGGTTCCTTTAGGCCGATTCTGAATAAAACTATGAGACTTGGTCCCCACACGATAGTTATATTGTACTAAAAGCCTACCAAGATAGTGCCTCTATAGTAATAATCACATTTTTAAACTCAGACTACATTTTTAAAACAGTTTCTTTTGATAGAGTATTAAATTCATTTGATGAAATATGCCGAATATTCAGAATTTTTTGACGCACTATAAAATGATAAGTCAGACCATTTTCCGCCTAGAAGTTGTTCGCACCATCTATTTACTGTATTACTATTGCAATGAGGGTTATCGTTTTTATACTTGACAGTTGGCACCACTGGCGAGTGACAGGACCTTACTCTACTGTGGCGCCAACTGGTGAGCGATATAACAATAGCCCTCATTGCAGTCCGACTGACGTCTGTCAATGACAGTTTACTGACTCGAATTAACTGTAGAAGAGTTTCTGACCTCCCAGCAGCCGGGAATAACTCCTGGAGCCCTATTTTTGAAGCATTGAAATTCCATATCGTATACGATTTTCTGACCTAACTAAATTGATAGATAGAATTGTCACATTCTGATGGTTTGTTAGAAGCCGGATCATTTTTTTTTATCTAATCATGAGATGAGTTGGCAGGCTTGTATGCGAATGAGTTATCGTAACGTAGCGCTCAGCAGTATGCGCCACTATCAAGTCCTGTCACTCAATAGTGGCGTCAAACTGGTGATCGCTGAAGCGGTAGGACTATTGCATTTGCACCACCATGTTGGCGCCACAGGCACAGGCAAGTAAGATAGTCAGTGGTGCCAACTATTGAGCGCAAGTTGAAGCTTAGAATGCTTCAAGAACAGGGCTGGTGGTCGCTGGCTCACTCAGTGGACTTCCAGTCGCGGTCGGAGCGCAGGAGGACCACTTCGTCCTCAGAGTCCGTTTCGGAGGGCGGTAGGTCCTCCTCATCGTAGTACGGCTTGCGTACTATCTCTGTAAGGAAAATACAGTTATATTTCTTTAAAAAATCATCAAATACTGAAACCCCTAGCTGTTTCTACCTTTTAAACAGTGTATGTTAAAGTCCGGTCGCCGAGCAGATAGAATTTAGTCCAATGACCCCAAGCTACTCATTCCTATCACTCGCGTAATTATATTGCTGTCGCGCTCGCACACTCACTGCGGCCGCCCGTCGCACAGTCGCGACAGCAAATAATTACGTGCGAGTGATAAGGATGGGTAGCTTGGGGTCATTGGACGAAATTTTATGTGCTAGGCGATTGGACTATAGTAATATTCGCCAGTGCCGTCAACTAGTAAGGGCAAATTCATTTGTTATTGCTATTTAGGCCCTTTTCAAGTTACTTATAGACGTCCTAAATAAGCTTACCATAATGGCGGAAAAATCTCAGACTTACAAAGGTGTCATAAAAAATAAATAATAATTTACCGTAATTATCGTCAGCACACAGCGGCCTCTTATCATCGGAGGGTAGTTGCGTGAACAAGTAGTCTTTGCGCGAGTCACGCGCGCGCTGGCGGCAACTCAAACACCAGGCGCCGAGAGTCACCACGCATACACCCACCACACCTGGGAACCAGTGAGTTAGCGTTAACACAAGCAAGCAAGTTCAAAGTTTTCTTTTTTTGGACCTTAACACAAGGCAGTAAGGATGGTTTTAGTGTCACGCGGACTGTCAGTGCGGATCGCTCCGCACAGCCGATTTGTAAGAACTGCTAGGGAGCGAGCGGTTCCTCCGGACCGCATTACTCTAAAACGTTCCCTAGAAGTTCATACAGATTAGCCGTGCGGAGCGGGTCCGCACCGGACGGACCGTCCGGTGCATGACACTAAAACCAGCCTAAGGTTGTAAGACGTTACTTTTGTAGGAAAACAAACGCAAAGGCATTATGCAATACAGCCAATTCTTCAGTTTTTACTTTGTATGTTAATCAAATGATATAATGAATGGTGATAGAATATTCCCTCTTTCTCTTGAGCGTCAGTAAATATGTGGCGCTTTACTGAGACCTCACACGGATATTTTGAGAAGAGAGAGATTTTCATTGTTATTACAATCAATAGTCGGCTAAACACAAATTATAGAAAATAAAACAATACTGCTGAACATGACTCACTCTTCACTTTCCCGTCAAGAAGTCCAAGCCAGAGATAGTTGACATTATATTTTTGTGAGCTTTCAACTCATTCAGTTCTCGTGGCAACTCTGAAAAATGTTGCCACTACACCTCGCATATGAGTTACAACAGTGGGAAATGAGATAATAATATAGGAATATTCTCCTAAAAATAGATTAAATATCTGACCTGCCAGCATGACGAAGACCAGCCGCGGCATGCCGAGAACATAGTCGTCCTTTTCCAACTTGAACAGTATGTTCGGCGTCACGTTGTCGTTCTCGTTAATCTGTGGACGAACGGACGATACATTAAGTTTATTTATCATTTAACATAATAAGTCTTATGTTGTTGTTATAGATTTTACTTTGCAACAAATGCAGTCGGTCCACACTAATTCATTTATTTATACCATTTACCGGCACGAGTTTCTCTCTCACAAAGTAGCTAAAGCCCGGTCTCCGAGCATGTAGAATTTCGGGATTACTAATGTTTGGTCAAAAAACGTTTCCCAAATTATCACATCGCAAACAACGTTTCGCAAATATTCATTTGGCAAATTCTCATTTGGCAAAACAACTTATAGCAAACTTTGAATTCGCAAATGCCGTTTTTGGCATATTATTGTTTAGCAAATTAATGTTTGGCAAAGTATGTTTTGGCAAACGTTTCATTTGGCAAAAAAATTTCACGATACACTATTTACAAAATAATTTAATTGGTGCGTAGAATGGAATACAAATTAACTTGTGGTTATTATTTTGTTTAGTGGGTAGTTAATATAAAATTTGTTTAAATTAATTTTCATATTTCATTATATTTATCGAACTTTCCAAATGATTCATTAACAATAGAGGTGATTCTAGCGCTCGGCGGCCGCTGCCGCGGCACGCTTCGCTCGCCTTCGCGCGTTAATGGTCACTGTTCTAACCTAACCTAACCTACTATTTTATGCAATACCTACTTTCTGCATCCATACTATTTTCTGCAATCTCTTTGTTTTACATACAATTCTTGTGAAAACCATGATCATCTGTCTTATGGTTTGATTTGTGGGTAACGGTGGGTAAGTATGTGAAGTGTCAATTTGACCAAACAAATTATTTGGGATATAATATTTGGCAAAATAAAACATTTGCTATATAAACATTTGCCAAGTAAAATTTGGCCAAATGATAATTTGACCAAATGAATTAGTTGCGAAAAGTACAGTTGCTAAAAGTTCATTTGGGAAATGAAACTTTGGCGATAAGTTGTTTGCGAAGTGAAATTTGGCGAAAAGTAATTTGGCCAAACGGAAGGATACCAGAATTTCGTCCAATGACCCCAAGCGACTCGACGACGCGACTTTGCGACGGGCGCCCGTAGTGAGTGTGCGAATGCGACAGCAACATAATTACGCGCGAGCGATAAGGATGGGTAGCTTGGGGTCATTGGACAAAATTCTACGTGCTCGCAGACCAGACTATAGATGGCGCTGTGTAAAATCATCATCATTGTTTCAGCCACTGCTGAACGTAGACCTCCTCCAATGATTTCCAGATTGGTCGGTTGGTAACGGCCTGCATCCATCCTCTTCCTGCTACTTTAATGAGGTCGTCTGTCCACCTTGTGGGTAGACTATGAGTAAAATGGTACTAACATTTATTGACTTACCGGCACATGTTTCTCCCTAGTAATATATCCTGACGCGCGCGCGGTCATTCTCACTTCCTTGCCCAGGTAGGTGACTGGTAGACGCACAGCGAAGTGCCCGGCGGCGTCGCTGGTGTTGGTGGCTACTGGCTTGAGCGTCTTCAGCGGGAAGATGGTCAGGATCGCGTTGGGAAGCGGCTGGCTGTTGATGTCCAGGGCTAGGCCTATGGGAAAGAATACAGTATTTTAAATGTAAATGGTCGAAATATAATATGTATGTACAAACTATAGCATCTTATCTCGTTGTAATCCGGGCTATTTTGCAATAAATGTTGTTTTGTTGTTTGTAGTTACAAGAAAAATATTGAAGTATATTTATTTATATTCGTTTTCTGATAGAACTTACTCACACACACAGTTTAAGGTTTGCTTAGTTTGAGACTCGTTGGCAGAGTGGAAAATGCCCTAGGATTATTTATTTGTTGTCGCATATTGTTTTTCAAATTCTCATTTTTTATGTTAAATAAATAAAATAAAATAGAGTCGTTTATTTCAGACTGAGTCTATAAAGTATTTTAAAATAAATTAAAATAATATTATACATTAAACGAAATTCATCAGATTGCCAACAAGCTACGAGGCAGGTCGTTATTGATATTTATTTGTGCACAGACGACAACACAATTTAAACACCCTGAGTTCTTATACAGTTGTAACAAGACCGATTCCAAAACAAAAATGTTCACTCTGATATACTGTTAACTGTACAGTACTGACCTGTAACGTAGATGGTGTTAGGATCAACTTCAACCGGCACAGGGAGAGGCAACTCGCTGAACTGTCCTCCAGGCAGGTGCTCCGAGTTCACACGACGCAGGACCACGTCTTTATGCTTCACCACCTTTTCCACAACTCGCCATGTGAAGGCCTGGAATATGTTCGTTGTAAGTTTAGTCAAGGCTACAAGATTAAATTGATCTTCCAATGTATATGGATGTCGTAAAAGTCGATTAGAGGACATGTTAAGTAGCCATTGGGTGCTTCCCTAACCTAGGCTATTTAGCGGACTTAGAACAAGCCAAAATTATTATTATTACTGACGGGATTGCTACCATGTACAATTACAATTATAACAAGTCCACCACCAACTAAACTAAGCAGAAAATTGTTTCCACTGAGAATTGAAACTGGGAGCTTTGTCTGAGACGGATAGATTTCCAGACCAAAGAAGACACATTTAAAAAGTGGGTTTGTTACACATAGGTTGTTTCTATTCCACAAAAAGGAAGCTCTTGGCTTGCATCTCACCTGATGGAAAGTTATGATCAGACCGAAGGTGCAAGCGTGCTTTACTAGGAATCCTGTTCCTCAGAGGAACTATCTATCTTACCCCCGGAACTTAACCTTCACTGGTTGAGTTTTAATTGGCGGTCAAGTTGTATCCTGGCTACACAGGAGTTGCAGCGGTAGGAACGAGAGGTGGGAAATGGGAATAGTCCCATATCTTTCCCCCTAATTGCCGGAATACAACAATGTAAACAGTTATGGGGGTGGGTTCTCACCTGATCTTCGTATTTATGGCAGCGGACCACGACCCGGTACTCCCCGGGCGGCAGCATGAGACGGAAGTGCGCCATGTTGGCGCTCACGCGGTAGGGCTTCGCCACGCCCTCCACAGAGACTGTGGCCTCGCGCATCGGGGCGCATCCCTCATGACTAGTCGTGTACAACCCGGTCGAGTTAACTGCGCATCTCGCTGGATTGCGATTCACCCGTAAACCCCCCCGCGTTCGCCCCGTTTGTACCAGAGCGTCGATGTGACGTCACAGCCGCCGGGTCACAGGTAACTGCGCACCTCGAGCGGGTTGTAGAGTAACTAAACTTCTCGTTACTGCCCGAAAAAAACGTTTGCACTTTGGTCGAGTACAGTCAATCAATTTTGTTCTATTTTGATAGGTGAGTAGCACACCCCACTGGCTAAGTGTCCGTACCAGGTGGTTTAGTCGAGTTCATATGAAAACTATCAATTACTTGTCCTCACTAAACGATTTAGTTTCCTACTCGACTAAATTTTGCTACTATTAAATTACTCGCACCTCGACTAAATTATTCAACTAATACGTAAGGCTTAGAGCGCTTTCATATTTAGGCGACTTAGCAGCGCGACAAATACGCGCTGCCGATAATTTCATACTATATGACAGCAGATTTATTTATTTATTTATTTAAGGACAACCAACAAAACATACACCATACATTCACAGTATCCTTATAAATAAATTAAGCTAAGGTGTTGCCTTAATTAAAGGTTGCCACGACATGCAGATGCCTGCCTTCACATTAAAAAACCGCCGCTGCCGCGCTGGTGTCGCGCTTCTTACGCCCTAATGTGAAAGCGCTCTTAAGGTCTAAGGTCTTCAGCTCACCTGGTCCTCGTACTTGTGGCAGCGGACCACGACCCGGTACTCCCCGGGCGGCAGCATAAGCCGGAAGTGCGCCATGTTGGCGCTCACGCGGTAGGGCTTCGCCACGCCCTCCACAGAGACTGTGGCCTCGCGCATCGGAGCGCCTAGCTCGTTCTTTACGTAGCCCATTATACCTGTGGAGATAATTTAGATTGTATAACGCACGAATCGGTGTTCTTAGGCCCAGAACAGACGGTGAAACGCAACTGCAACGAAACTGCAACTGCTACTTTTGAGTTGCATCTAAGTTTCTGGCATAGCGTCCGTTGACAGACCACACATGACGCGACCAGTGCGAAACTTTCAGTTTCAGTTTCATTCATCAGAATCATCAGAAAGTTGCAGTTTCGTTGCAGTTGCGTTTCACCGTCTGTTCTGGCCTTAGGTATAGTTCCAATGATGAATAGCTGGGTAGTTGAAACCACTAACCAAGTGATATTTTTATTTGAACTGTCAAAACTGTGACGTCATTAGATTGTGACGCTATTTTAAAAGTTATTTATAGGTCTAGCTTTAACTCAGTGCCTGAGTCATACCTCAGGGAGCGGCACGAGAGGGTGCTTTGTAACGTCAAACGTCAGCGAGACTTCAGACCTCCTTCAGAATTAAAAGCTTTGTTACGTCACATAAAGTCAATATCATCCCCCGTGCCGCTCCTATACCTCAGGCATTGACTGAGTTTATTTATTGAAAATAAATCTTTCAGGACTAAAATTATATGTGCTTTAATTAAACGAATAGGAAGTCTCCAACCACAATATAGTGCATAGTGGTCAGAGCAGTCACTGAGCAAACGAAATCGGAACGACTTGAGATCCATTCCAACTTCAAATCGGTTTTTCCAAGCAAAAACTCATTCTTTTTTTTAAAGACTAGCTTTCCGCCCGCGGCTTCGCCCGCGTGGAATTTTGTCTGTCACAGAAAAACAATATCGCGCGCGTATTTGCTCACCGTTTAGACCTACCCTGGACTACGACAAACATTTTAAAACCAAAATCAGCTCAATCGGCCCAGTCGTTCTCGAGTTTTATTCAGACTAACGAACATCAATTCATTTTTATTTATATAGATACGAGTAGATAGATAGATTATCAGCAATTTGTATTATGTTTGATATTTGGATAAATCAGAAACCATAGTGTATTACTATACTTACCAGTGTCAGCCTGCTGCACGAAGCTCATGACGCTCTGCAGGTTGTCCCGCCACACCCACGCGATGTCCCTCGCCTCGGGCATGCGGCAGCAGCTCAGGCCCGCAGATATTACGGGCGTGTCGAGTTTCTCTAGCAGCGTGTCGATTAGGGCTCCGTGTATCTGCGAGATAGGTATCGGGATTATGACTTACACCACACTTTCCTAGTCGGTACACTCTTGCCAGAGTGGTCGTGGTCAACATTGTGAATCACGTAGTCAACATTGTATCTTTGTTTCATTACGTTATTTAATTTAATTTGTAAACCTTTGAAAAGGAAGCTGACAGTAGTGACTCGAGTTACTTCTAAAGTGTATAATACAAGATGTGATGTATTCGTATCCGGGGCACATGAAGCTAAAATTTATATTTTTTTCAGGGACTTCAGGACCCGGTAAAACTGGTCCCTAAGCGCAGTTTGTTCATTTCAGCCAAATGACATCCACTTCTTTACAAAGGCCTCTTCCAAGAAGTGTAATTATAATAATAAAAATCACTGTAGGAAAATGACTCTCTCTAATTTACCAGAGGCAAATGGACGACTTGGCCTATACTGCCCACGTTGGCCAGACGGGCTGCAGAGCCCTGATGTTCACATATTTCTCCCTTAGGCTAAGAACTCATGGAGCGATTTTCACCCGCGCCCGCTGATTCTGTAGAATGCAGATACTTATGTAAAAACGAATGCATAACTCACGACGCGGTTTTCGCCCGCAGCGGGCGCGGTTGTAATCGGGTCCCGCTCGGAGGTTTTCGAGCGAGAGAAAGCCGCCTTATCGGCGGGCGACCATTTTGTACCAGATACTTAGCACGCGGCGCGATTTAAAATCGCGCCGTGAGTTCTTAGCCTTAGTCACCTCTTACGACATTCACGGAAAGTTTGGGGGGTCCTATTCTACTCTGCCACAAAGATAAATAATGAAAACAACTTACTTCATTATCATTTGACGCCACACACGCGTACTTGTCGCTAGGCGTCCTGTTATCCTGGTAGACCCTCGCGAACTTCTCATATATCTCCTTCGACATTTCGGGATACGCCACATCCTCGTTCCCCGAAGACAGTTCCAGCACCAGATCGAACTTTTCACTCTTTAACAGTTCCACAAAGGATTTTTCTCTGGTGTAGTTTGTCAACGGATTATTGTTGCTTTGAGTTATGTAGCTATACAGGCTGTCTCCAAAACCTTCTTCTAAAGTATCGACCTCACATTTGCTGGATCCGTCGTACTGTTTTATGACTTTTTCAGCTAGTACGTCTATGTTGGGGATGAAGTGTAGTACGGTGGTGTTTAGCAAGCGTTTGTGGAGGGGCTCTCCTATGGAATAGGCGTTGGCTATGTGCCGAGCAAAGTTGATTAGCATCTCTTGTCCAAGAGGTTCTGAGCCGTAGAAGCTGCTGATGATCGCTATGTGGAACTTGGTCTCTTCGGGCGAACCGACCTGTGAAAAAAATTACTGTTACTTTTTTATGGCTATAGAACATAGATTGAAAAATGAGTAATAGTTATTTCTAACGTAAAGTACCTAACTTGTACAAAAATTATAACTTTTGAAAAGTGTAAATAAAATAAAGTGGACTAAATTTAGCTCATAGTGAGGTTTGACTTTCCTGCCCTAGCGGCCATCAGCTCTTCGAGCTATGTGCCCCGCCCACAGCCACTTGATTTTAGCGATTCTGCGTTGCGAGCTGGAAGACGTAGCGTGGGCAGGCCTCCCACTAGGTGGACCGACGATCTGGTGAAGGTCGCGGGAGGTACCTGGATGCAAGCGGCGCAGGACCGGTCTTTGTGGAATCCTTGCGGGAGGCCTTTGTCCAGCAGTGGACGTCTTTCGGCTGAAACGAACGAACGAGGTTTGACAACCAATAAAGTCAATTTTGGAGTCCGCTGTTAAAGTAATACGCTAATATTACAATAATTATTGTTTAATGGCCTATTTAAAAGCGGACTTTAAAAAGATCAGCCATATTACACGTACTACACGTAGCTTACTTCCCCTCAGCTGAGGTCGAGTACAGTTTAGTATGGTCGAGTACTTAACTGTGTATCAGTTTCAAGAGATCTGTTCCAGTACCCCTCGCTCGGTCTTATATCGATTGTGCACTCTAGTGCTCTAACAATAAGGGCCAAATTACCTGGTCAGTGATCTTCAGCTCATGGAACATCGACGTAGCCAGACTGTCTCCAGCTCGGAACTCCGCTACGTCCGGGAATTTGTTCTCCAGCTCTGAGAGCAACTCGTAGGCCTCCAGGCGAGAGTGGTACCGCGTGTTGATTATGTTCTCTAGCACGCTGCAAATAAAGGCCATTTTAAATAATAGTATATCTCTCTAACACGCTGCGAATAAGGTTCAAGTTAGGCTAAATGCTGTAGGTATATGAAAATGGCACGAGAAATTAGACTTTAATTTAAGCTTTAGAATACAGATTTAGTATTGCTTTGAGTCTAATTTAACTATTGTAGAAAATTCAAAAAGTAATACTCACCATTCTACATGCAAGAATGTTTGCGTGAAAACATATTTAGACAGATGACATACATTTTTACATGAGTTCAATGATATTGAAACTAGCGTCAATTCGTAATAATGGTCTAAATGTATAATGAATTCTATTATTTAGTAGTTTATAGAGAACAACACTATCTAAAATTAAATCTATAATACTTAACTGACGTTCTTCACTCGATTATTATGTTATCCTATTACTCTGATCAGTTATAGTTATTTGTAACTAAATATTTGTTTGAATTATACGACTCGATTGCTAATACTACTTCTTTTGAAGGCAATTTTTGATATAAATATTTTTATGATTAAATTACAATGGCAATAATACTATAGAAACTAGTATTTTCACAATAAAAAAGCTACTAGTTCTTCAAAAATAAATTGAAATTACCTTACACATTCTTATGAAATTGTTCAAATGTCTTCTTTCAAAGTCGTCCAATCTGGTCGTAACATAGTGTGCGTTAGTAAGACTGTTAGTGAAAACAACACACAGGCAGACATGTGCAAGCGTTTATTATTAAACATTTAATATACATACATACATAAATAATGGTTTATTTAGCATAATATGTGTCAATATGAATAAAAACTTACGTGCATAAGAAAATAAGAAAGCTAAAGTTAAAATTAATGTTTTAAACTAACTTAAAGTGCAGGGAGTGCAAAAAATGCAAGTAATTTAAAAGCTACAAAATTAAAATCATTTAAAATTAAGTACGAGTCATTATAATAATACACATATTCAATGTTTTATTACTTTCTTAGTAAACAAAGACTAGTATGCGATATTTTACTGGTAAAAGATAGATAATTATTTTGATTTGTTAATCTATGGTTTGATTCAAATCGTTTTAGTACTTAAGAAAATAAATTTTAAGTAGCACAAGAAAATGGACAAAAACCTTATTTATGAGCACATAGAATATGTTGTAAATAAATAATATAATTGGTATGAACATAGTTATAAAGAAGCAACATAAACTTTATAGTGTTCCGGCACAGGCAGTTCTAAAATGGATTGAAGAAAAAAGGGAATTTAAAATTATAATAATTGATTTGCCATTTTTTATTTAAAAATGTATGAAATTTGATCCTGGGAAAACACAGAAAATACAGGTTACTTTTGCTTCAATTTAAAATGGTAATTTATATGATTATTACAAAATATTAAAGTTTCAAAACATTTCACAACCGCTGCGCAAGAGTGCCATTACAACATTACAAGTGACGTCACAGTGCAAACGCGAAGCAAAGTGGACCTTATCGTGAGCCACATAAAAGTGCTTACCGGAAGTCGTACGCTGATGACCAGTGCTGGGGGTCGATAGCCATGAGCGTGAAGTTAAGGCTGACGGATCCATTGGGTGGGACGGTCACTTCTTCCGTTACACTTTCGTACCTGTGGAATAATATGAATAAAGGTCAATTGGCATTGTTTTCACTGATAATGTACCAAACAATGTTTTTACTTGTCGTCTGATGTAAAATTTGTTAAAATAGATAAGAGCTGCTATTAGAAATCTCATGATGTCATTTGATACGTCAAAGCGAGTCCCATAATAGTAAGTGACGCCATGGTCAGCTTATTTTGTACAAACTTTAGATGCTTGTACGGCTGGCAACGACGTTGTAGATTCCAGGAAGTTTAGTATCCTCCAGTAGCCTCCATCGACTGTCGAGCGCGTTCTAGGTAATCATTGAGTAGACTGTATGTTTAGCAGTGGACGTCCTGGCTGAAATGATGAAGTTAATGCTGTTTACCCACTACGGCTGGCAGTGACGTTATAAGTCTCGGGCAGCAATATCTTCCTGTATGACGGGAGTCTTCCAGGAAATTATTTAGGGAGGCCTATATTCAGCAGTGGACATCCTGTGGCTGAAATGATGATGATAATGACACTCACCCACTACGGCTAGCAGTGACGTTATAAGTCCCTGGTAGCAGTATCCTCCAATAGTCTCCATCAACCGCTGAACGCACACTGTGACGTATACCTTCAACGGAGATGGTAATGTTGACTAGCGCACTGTCAACTTTTGATGAAATGATGATGCTAATGACACTCACCCACTACGACTAGCAGTGACGTTATAGGTCCCTGGCAGTAGTATCCTCCAGTAGTATCCATCGGCTGTCGTCTGTCATGAAATCACTGGGTAGACCTATGTTCACCAGTAGACGTCCTGGCTCCAATGATGGTAGTGATGCTTACCCACTACGACTAGCAGTGACGTTATAAGTCCCTGGTAGCAGTATTCTCCATTAGTCTCCATAAACCACTGAACGCACACTGTGTCGGATACCTTCAACGGAGATGGTCGCGTTGGCTAGCGCACTGTCAACTTTTGATGAAATGATGATGCTAATGACACTTACCCACTACGGCTAGCAGTGACGTTATAGGTCCCTGGTAGCAGTATCCTCCAGTAGTCTCAATAAACCACTGAACGCACACTGTGTCGGATACCTTCAACGGAGATGGTCGCGTTGGCTAGCGCACTGTCAACTTTTGATGAAATGATTATGCTAATGACACTCACCCACTACGGCTAGCAGTAACATTATAGGTCCCTGGTAGCAGTATCCTCCAGTAGTCTCCAGTAGTCGCCTTTCATGAAATCATTGGGTAGACCTTCACCAGTGGACGTCTTTATGCTGAAATGATGATGCTAATGACACTTACCCACTACGACTAGCAGTGACGTTGTAGGTCCCTGGTAGTAGTATTCTCCAGTAGTCTCCATAAACCACTGAACGCACACTGTGTCGGATACCTTCAACGGAGATGGTCGCGTTGGCTAGCGCACTGTCAACTTTTGATGAAATGATGATGCTAATGACACTCACCCACTACGACTAGCAGTGACGTTATAGGTCCCTGGTAGCAGTATCCTCCAGTAGTCTCCATTGGCTGTCGCCTTTCATGAAATCATTGGGTAGACCTATCTTCAACAGTGGACGTCTTTATGCTGAAATGATCATGCTAATGATACTCACCCACTACGACTAGCAGTGACGTTATAGGTCCCTGGTAGCAGTATCCTCCAGTAGTCTCCATTGGCTGTCGCCTTTCATGAAATCATTGGGTAGACCTATCTTCAACAGTGGACGTCTTTATGCTGAAATGATGATGCTAATGACACTTACCCACTACGGCTAGCAGTGACGTTATAGGTCCCTGGTAGCAGTATCCTCCAGTAGTCTCCATCAACCGCCGAGCGTACTGTATGCCTGATGCCTTCAACGGTGATGGTCGCATTGGCTAGCGCGCTGCCGATGTGGCTGTGGACGAAGCCGTGGACTCCTTTGTGGACCTGGATGGAGAAATTAAAAAAATAGTTATGTGCTGACGTTTTGATAGTTGTGGTCCTGTGACAGTACTGTTTTTGAGGGTTCCATACTATATTTAGTACTTAAGTAGTTCTTTAGGCTCTTTCCAGGGCACTTGTGCACGTCCTAAATATAGCTTGCCCTACCACCATTTCGGGACAACATTATGGGCTTGTGCTGAGAAGAAGTGGCGGAAGAAATTCAGTCACTGTTGTCAGTCAAAGTGTGTCAAGAGGGCCTATTTTTTTTGGAAGGATTAAGTTCCACCATGATAAGATAAACGTTATGCTTGTGTCATGAGTAGGTTCACCACAATAGTCCAGCGGTGGCGGGATGCGAACCTTTCTTGGTATTTCTCGGATCTCGATTCGGCCAGTCCGACACTTTTTTTGACCTACCTGTTCGATATAAGTCAGCAGCGCATCCTTGTTATGCTCCCAGTAAGTAGGTAAGTCAGATTCCGGCGGGAACTTGTAGCAACCCAGTTCTAAAGTCAGCTCCATATCATTCGTGTGTAGGTAGTTCCAGTCCTGCATGCCTCCCGCTAGCACGTACCTGGCAAATACATACTAATATTATAACTTAGTTGTAACTTATAAGAAAGTACTCATGGGCCTAACTTCTGGATTATTCCACTTTGTTCTGTTCCACCTGGGTGATATCACCTGGATGAAGCATGATCCTAACTTCTATCTCAGAGGAGGGAAAATCTGATTGTTTTAGACAGGCACAAGGGATTTAGACAAAAAACTGAAGGTATATAAGGTAAACTAAGGCATGTAGGGAGAGATGCATAATTTCCAGAGAAAGTTAAGGCAGCAATCTTCCTCTGTTACAAATGGTTAATTAATAACAATAAAAATACTTTTTTCTGAATTTTTTTACAGAATTTTGATTTTGTACAGAAGTTTGAAAAATCATTCTACCGTGTCGGTCTGTCATAAAAACTCACCACTGGGCGCCGTTAGTGATGCCTCCGGGGAACTTTTCGTCTATCAAGTTCTTGCAGGGCTGCCCCAGATGCATTTTCGTGTGAGCCTGTGACAGTCAATTAAATTAACCTATAGTTAACATATGAGAGGTTTTTAGTGATTAGAATCAATACCATACCATACACATTTTAACAAGTAACAGATATAGTTATATTTAAATACAACTTCTAGTTGCGATAAATCGAAAAAGCTGTATTAATAGTAATGACAACAAGTATCTAATTTTAAAATTTCTATCTCTACTATGTAATGTAATGATGTCTACGATCCAATATGAAAGAAAATACTTACCCAAATACAATTAATCAAACATGCATACACTCGAAAAGTATGCGAGTAATTGCATTCAAAATGTAAGTAAAATCGTCAAAACAAGCCATTCAATTTCAGGCTACAGGCCAAGTCAAAGCTGAAACTATTTTATACAGTGTGTTTCTTTTTCACTTTCGAGACTTTTCCCACGTATTCTTTTTTAAAGTTTTGATGAATACCCCACGTATTCATACAATATCGGAAGTTCAAACAGAAATATACTGTATTTGCAGGCTATCTGGGCTAGGATGCGTGCCGTGATATACTTTATCGACGTCAAAATGTATGGGCAAAATCGATAAAAAGGCGTGATAACCGCTTATCGGGGCGCACATCCTAGGCCTATATGAAAGGACTTAATGGCAAAAACTTAAACAGTGATTCTAAAACAATCACGGTTACTCTGTCTTAGAAAAAAAAGACGGTCGTATTGTATTTTGAGTCAAGTTTTGAGTGTCATTTCCCAATAAGCCTATTATGATTAAAGTAACCATCACCAGAGTAAATACAAATAAGTAGTTCATCTTCATAGAAACGCACCGAGCGTGGATTAGCGGGGTGTTGCGCCGAATTTTGTCAGTGTGTGCGTGCGCGCCGCATACGTATTGGCGCGCTCACATACAAACCGCGCTCGGTGCGTTTCTATGAAGATGACCTACTCATTTGTATTTACTCTGCCATCACTGTTTAAGCTCTCAACCCTTAAATACTTACGTCAGCATAAACGTGAGCCAAATGCATAAACACAGGATCATCAGGCGAGGCGGACTTCACGCCCGTCTTCATGTCAGGGTTGCCATCATACGGGTAGTTGGCGACGAGGGCACCGCCGTGAAGGTTCGCGGACAACACGAAAGGAATAGACAACGACCAATTCATCACCGCTATTGTCTCTGGTTCGGGGAAAATGTTGTCCTGGAACGGTTGTTAGTTAAATAAAACCGTTATTTTCAAACGGAAGGGTTAAAGAGGTTAGAGGTGGTTATTGGGAGTTTTAATTTAAAATTCAAACAAGTTTTTGTACTTAAAAAACCGAGTGGCTCAATGTCTTGGTAGCTCAGAGATCATAGGTGGAATTGTGTAAAGCAATCGTAATCATTTGACAGTTCATAACGTATGATAAAGTCAGTTAAACAAAGCGTTTGACAGAATAATCGTACGTTATGAACTGTCAAATGATAGAGTTTGCTTTACATTACACAATTCCACCTCAGATCAATCTACCGTTTAGCGAAAATTACTTTCACTAACTGATTACAAGATTTACAAGTAAAAAATCATGTTTAAGGGAAGAGGGAGACTTAAAATGTTCAGAGCACATGCCATCAAAAGAGATAATTATTTTCATATTGCAAAAATCATTTTGTCAAATCAAATCATTGTAAACTCAATCCAGAAATGCAGTTTTCAAATCATCATTCAACTCAACCAATTTATGCAGTTATTTTAGTAAAAATCATACAGTCAAACGTTATTTAGTTATAATACGAGTAATAAACGTTAACAAACCTTTGTAGGCCCGTACTGATCGGGGAAGTTTCTGTTCAAGTCCACCTTGTGGGCATTGGCTCGGCCTCGCATGCTGCTGTAGTCGCCTGGAAGACACAGATTGATATACTGATTTTATTGTAGTATTAAATGGATTACAGCACAAAGGTAAATCTCTAATGTTGAGTGTCTAATCAACTTTGACATGATAAAGTCAAGAAGTTGCAAACGCCGGCGCACGGACTTGTTTAGAGCGAGTGAGCAAGGACGCGGGGTGGGGATGTTACTCGCCTGGCAGAATATAACAAAATGGATAATCTCGCTCGATCGAAAGAATAAGTAACATGGTGTTGGTCGTCTAAATTTTTGGTGTTCAACCACGTTTAGCTACTAAATTACTCGATTAGTGTAAACTAAACATTTAGCGATTCGCAAGCCAGGTCTGCGATGTCCCCTTACTGTTTAAGATACCCATTACCCACCTTCTCTAGACTTCTCGTAGCCATCCGGGTTCATGCTAGGCATCAGATGCACTCGTGTGGTGTTCAGTATACGCTGCACCCTCTCGTCTCCAGCATAGTACTGGTAGCAGAGGAACTTGGCCAGTTGTAGGTCGTTTTACAAATAGCCCTATAACCACATACCTACCTTCCCTGGACTTTTCGTAGCCATCCGGGTTCATGCTAGGCATCAGATGCACTCTCTCGTCTTCCGCATATACTGGTAGCAGAGGAACTTGGCAAGATTGAGCAGAAACTGCTAGTACTAGTACACTTAGCGCTAGGTAGCTACATACCTTCCCTGGACTTCTCGTAGCCATCTGGATTCATGCTAGGCATCAGATGCACTCGTGTAGTATACGCTGGATCAGAGGATTTATCTGCTACCAGTACTATGCGGGAGACGCTCGGTAGCAGAGAAACTTGGCCAGCTACGTGGGTACTAGTACACTTAGCGCTGTTTAAGGGAGACACGCTGCGACACATGACAATGATACGTCGCATAATGGGACATAGGACAAGCAAGGTTTCACTGCGCTCGTCGCGCTTGCCACGTTGCGTTTGTCGCTGACTTAGGAGACTACGTAAGCATTACGATACCTTCTCTGGACTTCTCGTAGCCATCCGGGTTCATGCTAGGCATCAGATGCACCCTCGTAGTGTTGAATATACGCTGCACGCTCTCGTCTCCAGCATAGTACTGGTAGCAGAGGAACTTGGCCAACTACGTGGGCACTAGTACACTTATGGCTGTTTAACGGAGACACGCTGCGACACGACATAACATGACACAATGATACGTCGCTCGTCGCGCTTGCCACGTCGCATTTGTCGCTAACTTAGGAGACTACGTAAGCATTACGATACCTTCTCTGGACTTCTCGTAGCCATCCGGGTTCATGCTAGGCATAAGATGCACTCGGGTAGTGTTCAGTATACGCTGCACCCTCTCGTCTCCCGCATAGTACTGGTAGCAGAGGAACTTGGCCAGTTCAAGCAGAAGCTCGCGGCCCACCACTTCGTTTCCATGCATGTTGGCCACGTATTTGAACTCAGGTTTGCCTGGAGAGAAAAGTAGAGTAATTGTAGTAATATTTATTAAAAAAAAAAGATTCTGAGTGTCAATAAGTAATGAGACTATAGGAGTTGGAGAACTTTCTTCATCGGATCGGGGACAGAAAGACCATACACAGAATGTCAATGTGCATCAAAATGTTTGACATGCGACTTTTAAAACATAAATAAGAAAACGATCTCCTGCTGAAAAATGATTTTTATGGATCTCAAAACCAAGTAATATAGAACAGAAGGTTACATAAAGTTATGAAAGAGAGGAAGACTGCAAAAATAGTTTTTACAACAATAATTCGTATTATATGTATTCAAGCAACTCAACTATCACCTCGTACCTACTTGACTGTTTTCTCATGATCTTGCATTAGGGGACAAGAATAACCCACAAAAAGTAATAGAGCTCAATCGCAGTATCTTCCTAACAGTAGGTCTACAAACTATTCCAGACTCACCAGGCAAATGCTTCCCAGGGTTCTTCGTAACTTCCATCACATACAGCTCCCGTCCCTCCACGGATTTCCCAATACTGGTCAGCGCCGTGATCTCCGGATACTTGTCGTGCAGATCCTGGAGGTACTTCTCCATGCTCTTGAAGTCGTGGTGCTGGAAGTCCAGAGCTGAAATGCCGTCCAGGTCGTGACGCGGCTTCCTTTCATGCTCTGGAGATTTGCCCTTGGTTTTAGCTTAGGGGAATAGCGGGGACGTGAGTGTGAAGGAAGGGTTTAATAGAGTATTATGTGTATTTTTATCTATATTTATAAAAGCGAAAGGTCAGACTGACTCACTAACTCATCACGAAATCTCAGAAACTACAAGTGCCAGGAGTCTCAAATTTTGCATGGGGGTTCCTTTTAGAACATAGGTGCTAAGACGGGATTTTCCATAATTCAATCCCTAAGGGGGTAAAACGGGGTCCACGCGGGTGGCCGCTAGTATTTAATTTAGGTCAAATAAGGTTTTTTAACGGTATTATTAACTTGTGGTGAACCAATAAGATAATTAAATGAATGCGTTCACCACATTAGTTCAGCGTTCGGTGGGGATCGAACTACGGAATGAATCGGCAGTCCGAAGACAATTCAGAACATTTTTTAAACCTTACAGAAAGATATAATTCTGGAATGGAATTTTACTAATTATATAAACTGGGAAACCTGCTTTGAGTTTTCTGTATTTTTTTTCTCTCCTGTCACTGTAAATACCTTATTTACTTTTTTATGTGTATCTTCGAATTTGACAGCAGTAAGAATGGGACATTAACTTTGCTATTTTAATTCCCACTCCATTTAAATACTCAAATTTAATGCATCAAACAATTCCTGCATGCTTATTATGATTTTAGTACTAAAATACCTAAGTAGTTTTAATTGAAGAGCAAAAGTGCCACCACCGCCTCCGGACCAGATGTTTGTTAGCTGAAGTAGGTAAATAGTTTCAAAGAAAGGGGAAAGAAAATGTTAAATACAGGCGTAGGAATGTGGATATTCTTTTATTTATTTATCTGTCTGCGTACTAGGCTATTTCTATTCATATTCATAAGTGCCACTTGTGGTCTCTGAATAAATATTTTTGATTTTGATTCATTTATTTATTTATGAGAACTCTTTCAATCGTTTGTGTACAGTCCATTCAGAATATGATTTGTTTGTTGAAAAAATAGCTCTCATGGCAACTACCTACATAAGATTTATCTTGATTTATCGAGGTTTTAGTATCTTAATGTGTCATCTACGGTACATCTAATCCAACAGGCTTATTAAGAAAGTCTTCAGTGGCACACACACAGTAATTTTAAGGTCATAACGCCCATAACTATATTTTTATGTCAAACTAAGTATGTATTTTATTATACTGTTCCAACGCCACTCTTGTAGTGGAGTTTTGGGCCGACACTCTATAGGTTTGTTGTCGACACGACAAGCAGATACTTTTCTTAAGCCAAGAACACGCTGGTTTGTACTTATATTTTTATGAAAGGTATTTTTCTGATAGTAATATCAGGCCTGTTCATCTCCGCGAGTTTACATCAAAAACAAAACACGCACGATGGCCCACCTACAGGATACTATTCGACAAGGCCTCACATACGAGCGAACATTGACTCACGCACGCGTATTCTTGTGTATGATGGAAGAAAATAAAGATAATGGTGTACTAAATACTGTGCAGTATTTAACTGCCAAAATAATAATAAAAACACAGAATGTACTTTTTTAAGTTGCCTCAAGACACTGAGAGGTAAATAAGTAGTTAATATTATTCATGATAATTCATGCTTAATCATGTATTTCCTCCGCCATTTTCCGCAGTTTGGCACCTCACGTCACATCATTTTACCGAAGTCAGCCCTATTCGCTGGGTGCGAAGTACTAGGTGGGGGGGACATAATCTATCGCAGCGCTCATGGTGGTCAAAAGTAGAAATAATGTAAGCTCTGTCATCAGATGTATCTGTCAATGGCAAAAGGATTCTACATAATACATTTTAATATCATTAATTAATCGCATGAAAAGGGTCCTACTGGAAACTTAAATAAAAGAGTGGACTGTATTTCGATAGGGCTGTTTTAATAGCCGTTTACAATTTGGAAATAACTAAACTATACAACGTGGTAGTACAAAAATGAGTCACAGTAGTTGTTGTGCACAGATGTTTGCCTTATGATGAGAGCGTCAATTATTGAACTCTGCCCTTGTTTTGTTCTTAATTCTTCTACATCTCGGACTTGTCCAGCCAATACCAACAACTTTCCTTTAAATACGGTTTGTGGTTGGAATTTGATATTGTAACTCTCACAAACCCGGTCTTCAAAACGATACTCATTTCGATCTGAAAACGATATTTAATTTATTACTAGCGATACAGAAACATTTAAATATATTTACTGTTATATAATGAAACCGTTAAAGTAGCTTTTTCTTTTTGTTTTACTGTAAAACTACAACTATAAATGAAGTAAACAAACCCTGACACAATCAAAATTAAACACACTTTTTGGACTTACCTCATTTGATTTGAATGACCAAAATGATTTCAAAACCTTTTTTCCACCCAAATCGTGGTATCACAACAATTTATTAGTTGAAAATATTTGTTATTTTTTCATTTCGATATTTTTTCACAAATATACGACCTAAATGTCAATGTGACAGAACCCACAAAGTTGTGGACGCTAGTTGGCGCTGTAATCGTGCACGGAGCCAATAGCTTCGGCGCTGTGCCGATCACTGACGTTTGTCAACAAAATGGTGCTTGACTCTTGAGACAGGCTATATTACACCATATTGTTAATGACATTGAGCATACATTTTTTTAAATACCTTCGCGAAGTAAAACTTCTGTACGTAGTACTTATTATTATTCTGTGGTAATATTTACAGTTGAAAGTTGTTAGTGTGTATTGGTATGAGGATAGTGTACCTAAAGGATGGAGGTTAGGAAAACTAAAAGAAAAATACAGCAAAATAAAGGGCAAATCTACGAAGCATAATAGGAAAGAAAAGAAAAAACCAACCACCAAAGATACTTTACTAATTAAAACTAAAATATTTCAACTAAAATAAAAATAAACTAAAACTAAACAACCAAAGTACTAAGAAGTAATGAGACTTCAGAAAAACAGTAGAATCAATATGAAACTTCATTTTATTGTTAATCACAATACACAATTCATGATAAAAATCGAGTCAATTTCTCGTTTCGTACAGTCAACATTAAAAGTATTATACCATTTCACCATGTGCACTCTAAATAAATGTACCTACATATTAAATAAATTTTTCCTTTAATGTTTTGATGTTATCATGTTAGATGCTGAGAGTACCAACAACAACATTATCACAAAAACTACGTAAATAAAAATTTAACCTGTAGATAGGTGATTACTCTTAGGCCGAGTACTCACTGCCAAGCTGTAACTTTAAACCAATATTTTCCCTCTTTGAGATCAATATTAGTAACCAGTGTTTATTTCTTATCCATGTCTATATTATGCACAATACTTATGGTTATTGATGCAACTCGCTCGCTCATGAGTATACAGCTTTAGGTGTGAAGTTAGTAGCAAAGCAACGTGACAATAATGAAGTGAGCAGTTTATACATAAGCGATGTAGATAAGTAAATTACTCACTTATAACACTGAGCCCCATTCTAATTTTTTGTATCATTAAATGGTATGAATCTCTTTTAAATCAATTTGAAAATGCACATGGTAATTTGAGCTTTTTTAGTTATTGAAACATTTACGAGCACAAAGTAGGTTTTGACTTATCACAGTATAAATGTAGGATAGAAAATATCAAAATTCTAAAGTATTAATTATACAATCAACTTTATTGGTACACATTACCTTTACAACTAGTATTATGTGATTAACTACCATTCCCTCTAATTACTACTACAATAGATACATAAATATGTATAAATATATACCAAGTTTTTAAAATTAGTTAGTATAGTTATTAATTTAGGTCATTTATTTTAATTAGGAATGTAATTTAAATTTTTTTATTTCTTAAATTCGATTAAAAAATATCACAACCAATAAACAGGCCAAAAGGCTTTAAGTATACTTTGAGATCAATTTTGGAATGTCTAATTTTTAATTAGTGAGACTTGGCACGAAACATATTGCAATAATTTTACATAATTTATAATACTAAAGTATAGGCTTCTTCCTTGTGGAAATCGTCTCTCTCTAAAGTACATGCCGAATGTTTGACAAATCTGAATGTTTGTATCTTATTCGTTGTACGCTGAACAACCCGAAGGAGTTAACTGCGCACCAGGCACACGTGACGTCACATCGACGCTCTGGTACGGTCGGGGTTAAATCAGACAAAAACAGTTCTAAATACGTATTCACAATGGTCATTTTGATAGAACGATTACTCGATAGGATCGCAACTCAGTGTTTTGTTGTCGTTGAAGTTTTGTTACGTGGTCCCATTGAAAAACAGTTCTAAATCCGTATTCATAAGGGTCATTTTGATAAAACGATTACTCGATAGGATCGCAACTCAGTGTTTTGTTGTCGTTGAAGTTTTGTTACGTCGTCCCATTGAAAAACAGTTTTAATCCCTATTCACAAGGGTCATTTTGATAGAACGATTACTCGATAGGATCGCAACTCAGCGATTTGTTGTCATTTAAGTTTTGTTACGTCGTGCCATTGAAAAACAGTTTTAATCCCTATTCACAAGGGTCATTTTGATAGAACGATTACTCGATAGGATCGCAACTCAGTGTTTTGTTGTCTTGAAGTATTGTTACGTGAATAAGGGTACAGTTAACTCGACCGGGTTGAAGTTTAAATCTAAAGGAAGACTTCCGAGAACAGCTTACGATCGCATTTTTCATTCAGTACTTTATCGGAAGTATAATTAAACCTAGGTTTTAACTTAGTTGGATTTTAGGCTAAACATAATTTTTGACATACGGTCGTAGGAACAACTTCACTATTTATTAGGCTTAACTGAGGAAGAGCTAGGCAGTGTCAGTTTTAAAAATACCTAATCTTAATTCCTAACCTTATTTTTAAAAAAATGAGAAACTGTAAAATTTACAAACTACTGTAGTTAAAATTGAGCATTGAATGTTTCCTTCAATTTATAAGTATAATGGTATTTACATAGTTAGTGACGAAAAGCCATCGAAATAATAACAGATATAAATAATATTTTTATACAAAACTTGGTTTAATAACTAAACACTTGTATATTATCATATTATTATACTTAATGGCTACGTAGAATAGTTTTATATCTGTTATGACTTCGATGAAAAAGGCGGCAAAAATGATGATAATTATATCGATTGCATTATTGCACACAATCAATGAAACCTGATCACTATCAAAGCGTTGAGGTGTTTCTTTCAAAGTCATTAATATTTATGTCAAATAGATTATCATAATCATATTGTGATTTTTTAAATATTTGTTTCCAAATGTTTGGCGGGGGCATTTATGTATCTTTATAGCAGTTTTTACACTAAAAATGTATTTTTTTCTTAGCCGGCTTATTTTATTCAATCACAGTGACGTGTGTGATTTGTTGAATGTTATTTTTTCTTAGTCGACTCTTTAGTTCGATTACATCTTTTGTCATTCTTAAGCTAGATAAGTTATTTCGTAGCTCAAACTAGGGTCTCGATACGTCAAAGTACTGTTTTACTTGCACGAATTTTTGTCATTCAAAAACAGCCTCTTTTTGTCTTCATCATAAGGGTACTAGGTATTACCTAGGTTTAGCGGGACCTTCAAAGTATTTTACCGCATTATTTTTACATAAAAATGGCGGTTTTTCCTTGCTGATTTTTTAACGTTTTTGACCCCATTCGAACGGTTTTTTCATTCCAAACTAGCCTTAATCACCGTAACTTTAAAGGAATACCTCCTAAGCTATGATAACCAGCGAGCCCCAGCACACACGCGCTCGCCCTCAGTCTCGTTTCACCGACGAAGTCTAAGTTATTTCGTAGGTGAAACGAGGGTCTCTCAATACGTCAAAGTACTGTTTGATTGCACGAATTTTGTCACTCAAAAGTAGCCCTTATACCCTTAGACTTAAGGGCTATAAAGAAATACCTCCTAAGCTACTACAACCGTCACCACCAGTAACAGCATGACAGCGAGCCCTAGAACACACGCGCCCGCCCTTAGGCTCCCAGGCGCCGACTTACCGTCCTCGCGGCGGGTCAGCGAGAGATTCATAGATAATGACACTGTTCTGTGATTGTTTATGGCCAAATTATTTTGCTACTCAATTGCGTCATTGCATGTTATTGGTCAAGTTTGAAGAAGGTCTCTAAAAGATGAATTTCTTTGTCATTCTGAAATGTTATTTTTGCTTAGTCGACTCTTTTGTTCGATTACATCTTTGTCATTCTTAGGTTAGACAAGTTATTTTGTAGGGTCTCGAAACGTCAAAGTATTGTATTATTGGCACCGATTTTTGACATTAAAAATGTCTCTAAAATCTTAAGGACCCAAGGGCTTTAAAGAAACACCTCCTAAGCTATGACAACCACCACCAGCACCAGCACAGCGAGCCCCAGCACACACGCGCCCGCCCTAGGGACTCTCTGTCTCGTTTCACCGACGAAGTCTAAGTTATTTCGTAGGTGAAACGAGGGTCTCTCAATACGTCAAAGTACTGTTTGATTGCACGAATTTTGTCATTCAAAAATGACCCTAACCACATTGACTTTAAAGACGTTAAAGATACACCTCCTAAGCTATGACAACCACCACCAGTACCAGCATGTTAATTTTTCTTAGACAACTTTTTAGTCCGATTAGATCTTTGTCATTTTTAGGTTAGACAAGGCATTTCGTAGGTCAAACGAGGGTCTCGATACGTCAAAGTACTGTTTTTTCGGCACAGATTTTTGTCACTCAAAAATAGCCCTATACCCTTAGACTTAAGGGCTATAAAGAAATACCTCCTAAGCTACTACAACCGTCACCACCAGTAACAGCATGACAGCGAGCCCCAGCACACACGCGCCCGCCCTTAGGCTCCCAGGCACCGACTTACCGTCCTCGCGGCGGGTCAGCGAGAGATTCATAGATAATGACACTGTTCTGTGATTGTTTATGGCCAAATTATTTTGCTACTCAATTGCGTCATTGCATGTTATTGGTCAAGTTTGAAGAAGGTCTCTAAAAGATGAATTTCTTTGTCATTCTGAAATGTTATTTTTGCTGGGGTCCTTTTGTTCGATTACATCTTTGTCATTCTTAGGTCAGACAAGTTATTTTGTAGGGTCTCGAAACGTCAAAGTATTGTATTTATGGCACCGATTTTTGACATTAAAAATGTCTCTAAAATCTTAAGGACCCAAGGGCTATAAAGAAACACCTCCTAAGCTATGACAACCACCACCAGCACCAGCACAGCGAGCCTCAGCACACACGCGCCCGCCCAAGCGACGTTCACGCCCGCCCTTAGGCTCCCGGGCGCTGACTTACCGTCCTCGCGGCGGGTCAGCGAAAGACCATAGATAATGACTCTGTTCTGTTCTGTTTCTAGCTTCTTTTTGTCTTTATCATAAGGGTACAAGGTATTACCTAGGTTTAGCGTGGCCTTCAAAGTATTTTATCGCATTATCTTTACATAAAAATGGCGGTTTTCTTGGCTGGTTTTTTTACGTTTTTGACCCATTATCATAAGGGTACAAGGTATTACGCCCTCAGGAGACTTACCGTCCTCGCGGCGGGTCAGCGTGAGACCATAGACAATGACTGTTCTGTGATTGTTTATAAGCCAACTTTTTTTATTTTTTGACTCAATTGCGTTATTGCTATAGGGTGTAGTTTATCGCTTAATTTTGACGAAGGTCTCTACAAGATGAAACTTTTTTTTTGTCATTCCAAAATGTTAATTTTGTTAGTCGACTCTTTAGTTTGTCATTCTCAGTTTAGACAAGGTATTTCGTAGCTCAAATTAGGGTCTCGAATAGTCTCGATACGTCAAAGTACTGTTTTTTCGGCAGGATTTTTGTCATTCAAAAATGACCCTAACCACAATGACTTTAAAGACGTTAAAGAACACCTCCTAAGCTATGACAACCACCACCAGCACCAGCACAGCGAGCCTCAGCACACACGCGCCCGCCCAAGCGACGTTCACGCCCGCCCTTAGGCTCCCGGGCGCTGACTTACCGTCCTCGCGGCGGGTCAGCGTGAGATTCACGGTCAAAGCTTCGACTCCCAGTGGGGGCACCGTGATGGTCACCGGTTTTGAGTCGTACCTGGATGGGAGAGATTGTGTTAGATAGTGAACGCAACATTTTCTACTATTATATTGGTAGAACTGTATTAGTGTTGATTTCTATTATGTTTGTGTTGGTAACACTGTATCTGTCATTCTCTCCCCCGCGTACATTTTACCGCCGAAATACATTGTTCTGTTTTATTCGCAAATAATCTTTTATTTAACTAAAGTAATCACAATTCATCAGATTGGATTAATATTAACGTTTGACTTGGCTTAGACTTTGACTCAATTCGAAACTAGTCAGGAAGTCACCACGTATTTTGTAATTTCGAAAATTAATGACCTAGTGAGGTTACTAAAGTAATTTGAATTTCTTTGTTTTCGGATCTATTCTTCCTTCTCACTCAAAGTGAGATATGTAACTGCGTAAATGGGGTTAGGAAGAGGCCCCTTGAGAGTCGAATCGTAATAATATTAAACCACTTCTTCGTCCAGCCAAAATGCAGGATACACAGAACCGCATTTAGCCTACTGGGGATGTTCTGGGGTCCTTTTAATAAATTATCTCTTCTTTTTTTAAAAGCAGACGGGGCTCCCTCGTTCGCGGGTCTTGAGCACGTTCCCAATGGGAAAGAGGGGCTTTAAGGCAAAGTATATTAAGGATGTATGCTTATAACTGATAAAGAATTTTGCTAGTAAGCGAATGTTAATGGGACTATTCCAACCTCTCGTTCTCACCGCTGCAACTCCTGTGTAGCCAGGATCTACAGCTTGACCGCCAATAAAAACCAAACCAGTAAAGGTCAAGTTTGTCCCGAGGGAAATTAAACTATCACTGGACCCGCAAGCTAAATTAATCAGAAGAACACAGGAGGAGTTCGAAGCTAAGGTTCGACAGGTGACAAAACAAAAGGTAAAGTAACCTGTAAGAAAAGATATACACCACGGACAGTAAACATAATTTATGAGGACCTATCTTGTGAGCTATTAGCACCTGCCAATATATTTTTTTAATTTTGCTAGCTAGCGAATGTTAGTACTAACCCCATAGCTGAAGCAGACACGTTGTAGACTCCAGGCAGCAGTAGACGCCAGTACACGCCGTGCTCTGTCACCTTCACCGGATGGTTGATGCCTTCCACTTGCACGATGGCGTGCTGGAAACAAAGATTCTTATGCAAATCAATAATATCACGACAGTTTATTATTATCCCCATTCTAAAATGTAAAATTTGAACGTGGGACATCGCTATCGGCGGTTCATCATCATCATCAACAGCCCTTTACAGTCCATTGCTGGACTATGAGCCTCCTCCACTATAGTGGAGGGTTTTGCCATAATCCCCACGCTTGTCAGGCGGGTTGGAGATCGCAGTTGAAAAGATTGATGTTTTTTCAAAGAGCGCTGCTGCCCGTTCTCTGTTTGATGTGTAGTCCCTAAGTCGCCTTTTACGACACCCGCGGGAAGAGTAGGGGTTGGTGACAAACCGGCGTTTGCTTCAAGTATTCTGCTTGATGTTGTTTTTGACCTTGACAGGTTGTCCATATTGTGAACTAAACAGGCCTATTCTCACCTCTCGTTCCCAGCACTGAAACTCCTGTGAAGCCAGGATCAACAGCTGCCAATAAAACCCAATCAACGAAGTTTAAGTTTGTCGCTGGGGAAGTTAAACTGTCATTGGACTAGAAGTGGACTGCGTTGGGACGTTAGTATACTCGAATGGCTCCCTGATGGAATTACCTTGAATTGGCCGTCAATAAATACCCAACCAAAAGCCAAGAAGTCCCGGGGGCAAGTGAAACTGTCATTGAACTCCCTTTGGCTGAAATGATGGGACTTTAGTATACTTGTATCACCTTGGCTGACTCTCCCTGTTGGTCTAGCAGTGGACAGCCTTCGCCTAAGATGATAGGATGTTTTGCCAATGGTTCCAAATTTGTAGTCTACAGCATATCAAAGTTTTGTTGAGTCTTATGTCATTGTAATAGGATCCATTTTGTACCTTGACCGGCTCCCCGTGTTGGTCTACCACGTGTCCCTTGACGCCCATATGCGCGCGCTGCATGAAGCCCAGCAGCGGCTCGCGGTTGATCTCCCAGAAGCGAAACCATTCTTACCTCTGTTTCCCCCTGCTGTAACTCCTGTGTAACCGCCAATAAACACTCAACCAATGAAGGCCAAGATTGTCCTGGGGGCAAGTTAAACTGACATTGAGCTACATTCAGCTGAAATGATGGCTTTAGTATACTCGCATCACCTTAGCTGGCTCCCCGTGTTAGTCCAGCACGCGTCCCTCAGAGGCAAGCGATGTTCTACGGCTGAAATGATGATGANTGTAAGAAAAGATATACACCACGGACAGTAAACATAATTTATGAGGACCTATCTTGTGAGCTATTAGCACCTGCCAATATATTTTTTTAATTTTGCTAGCTAGCGAATGTTAGTACAAACCCCATAGCTGAAGCAGACACGTTGTAGACTCCAGGCAGCAGTAGACGCCAGTACACGCCGTGGTCTGTCACCTTCACCGGATGGTTGATGCCTTCCACTTGCACGATGGCGTGCTGGAAATAAAGTAAAGTAAAGTAATAAAGGTAGTTGTTATTAAAATACGGGGATAGTGTGTAAAATAATCTCTATAAATTAAAATCGGATGACGGAAATCGGATGTACGATAAGTTTTACATCTATTCCGGACCGTATCCTCACAGATTCGGATCATGTAAGTATATGTATAGAGAGAACGAGCAAGATAAGTTTTTATAGAACAGGCTCTCCGTGTCCACCTCTTGTTCCCACCGCTGCAACTCCTGTGTAGCCAAGATCTACAGCTTGATCACCAATAAGACTCAACCAATGAAGGAAGAGTTTGTTCCCGGAAAAGTTAAACTGTCATTTGAACTCCCTTTGGCTAAAATGATGGGACTTAGTATACTCGTATCACTTTAACTGGCTGCCCGTGTTAGTCCAGCACGCGTCCCTCAGAGGCAAGGGATGTTCTACGGCTGAAATGATGATGATGATGATGATGATCACCTTGATTGGTCCAGCAGTGGACTGCTTTTGGCACCTTAATATTGGTGTAAATGGTGCACCTTGACCGGCTCTCCGTGTTGGTCAACCACGTGTCCCTTGACGCCCACATGCGCGCGCTGCATGAAGCCCAGCAGCGGCTCGCGGTTGACCTCCCAGAAGCGCGCTGGTGTGCCCGAAGATGGCTTACGTAGCCTATTTTCACGGTAAAATCCCTCGCGCATTGAGGGCATCTAAGCACGCCGCCAACATAGTTATAGTGAATGGCGGCAGATGGACGGGCCTTCAAGTCATCGCGCTTCGCGTCGAGTTCAGTCGTACGCTGCACCTCGAACTCGCAACAGCAAGTTGCAGTTGCAAAAAAATGCTATTGTTGTATAAAGGTGCTGACAGAATGATGGCCCAGAAGTATCAATCTGGAAATCATTGATGGACACTCATGTGCGGTAGAGGCAATGGACGTCCTATGATGATGATCAACTTGGCTGGTATGGTGGACCAACAGGAAGACTGTTGGTCCACCATGTGTCCCTTTGAGGCCATGTACTACGGTCTCGTGTTGATCCAGCACACTGCCTTTGATGTCCAGGTGGGAGTGATGCATAAAGATTAGCAGAGTATTGGTCCGGCGGTCAGAAAAACCGTCCGCTTTTCCTAAAATGTCTAGAAGTTTCACCTTGACAATAGTATTGTAAAGGTACCTTGACCGGCTCCCCGTGTTGGTCCACCACGTGTCCCTTGATACCCATATGCGCGTGCTGCATGAAGGCCAGCAGCGGCTCGCGGTTGACCTCCCAGAAGCGCGGCAGCTCGGACGCCGCCGGGTACTTGCAGCAGGACAACTCGAAAGTCACTTCGAAGCAGTCCCCGTGGAGGTAGTTGAAGTCTTGCATGCCACCTGAGGATGGAAGGTATTAATTAAAATACGCCTTTTTGACCAATGAGGCAAATTTTTTCGCATTTCGCTCCCGCGTAAAGCATGTAATTTAATAAAAGTACTGCAACAGACTTTACTAAGAGGTTTAACACATTAGGATGATATTATTTATTAACCTAAATATACAGTGGCCTGCAAAACCAAGCATCACACCTTAAAAAAACCCTTCAAATGCTTTACTCTCATATTACAAAAGTTCTTGTGTAAAACAAAAAAAAACAGACAAAAAAAGGGAAAGAGAAAAAAAAAAGCTTTTGTTTTGGCTAGTTTATTAAAAGAACTTTTAGTCCACCAATTAAATTTTCATTAGTTTGAAAGAGTAGAGTAATAAACACCCAGAAGGAAAGGATATTGGGCGATATTTTATTTGACAAGTAGAAAAATAACGCACTGTATAACTTCATCTTTCGGGTTTTCACTGGTTTTGTTCTTACCAATTTTAATGATGTAAAACATTTATAACTTTTTGAGAGATAAAAAACCCCTAAAAGATAACAAACATCGCATCGAAATAGGGTATTCCCTGTTCTCTGAATCATGACAGCATGACTTTTGCGCATCATCAAGACAGGTTAATAGGTTATCTGATAATCTATATCTATCTATACTAATATTATAAATGCGAAAGTAACTCTGTCTGTCTCTCTTTCACGCCTAAACCACTGAACCGATTTTGATGAAATTTGGTATAGAAAAAGATTGAGTCCCGGGAAAGGACATAGGATAGTTTTTATCCTGGTTTTGAAACAGGGAAGCGCGATAAAGTTTTTCTGTGACAGACAAAAATCCACGCGGGCGAAGCCGCGGGCGGAAAGCTAGTTAATTAATAACTAAAATAAATTGAGAGAAATTGAGACGTCCGAATGTTTACAAAGAAGATTGTATGTAAAACTAGGAATAGAAGAAATATTCTGTAGTTCAGCAATAACACATGATAAGTGTTATCAAAGGTAGGTGTCCTTAGTATATTAAAGTTCAATGAATGTGTCAGATAAATCTACAATACGTATTGTGTTTGTAAGCCTAATGTTGCTTGCTTAAGTGAAGCAGCAAATCGAATGCACAGTGTTTAATAGAGCTCTGTGATTGGTTCATAGTCACCCTGTGCGTCCACGCGCACTGTGAGACCTCATAGTAATGTTTGTAAATACGGGGCGTAAGTATGTTGTAAGAGAGGCCAAATTCGTCGGTACATACGTGCCTCCATTCCAGAGCCTTCTTGGAATCTTCTAGAACTGACGTACCTTTAACAGAGTACCAGTCGGCGCCGTTAGTGACTCCATCGGTAAAGTTGTCTGGGGGACAGGTGGTGCCCTTCCTCATATCCTCGTGCTTGGACGCGAAGGTATGTGCGAGGAGTTTGAACACTGCATCATCTGGTGCCAGGCTCTCTACGCAGCAGTCGCGGCCGGTGCTGGAAGAAGTAGTTGACATTAATTAATAATTCTAAGACTACATTTCAACCTAAGAATGTCTACTAACTACTGGACATAGACCTCCCCCAAGGATGTCTACAACGGCCGGTCCTGCGCTGCCTGCATCCAGGCGCTTCCAACGACCTTCACTAGATCGTCAGTCCATCGAGTGAGAGGCCTCCCTGTCTCTATCATCATCAACAGCCCTTTACAGTCCACTGCTGGACTATGAGCCTCCTCCACTATAGTGGAGGGTTTTGCCATAATCCCCACGCTTGGCAGGCGGGTTGGAGATCGCAGTTTAAAAGATTGATGTTTTTCAGAGAGCGCTGCTGCCCGTTCTCTGTTTGATGTGTAGTCCCTAAGTCGCCTCTTACGACACCCGCGGGAAGAGTAGGGGTTGGTGACAAATGTATTCTACTCTGCCGTCACCACACGGCATACTAAGTAGGTATTCCTAGANCATGGACACTCATGTGCGGTAGAGGCAATGGACGTCCTATGATGATGATCAACTTGGCTGGTATGGTGGACCAACAGGAAGACTGTTGGTCCACCATGTGTCCCTTTGAGGCCATGTTCTACGGTCTCGTGTTGATCCAGCACACTGCCTTTGATGTCCAGGTGGGAGTGATGCATAAAGATTAGCAGAGTATTGGTCCGGCGGTCAGAAAAACCGTCCGCTTTTCCTAAAATGTCTAGAAGTTTCACCTTGACAATAGTATTGTAAAGGTACCTTGACCGGCTCCCCATGTTGGTCTACCACGTGTCCCTTGACACCCATATGCGCGTGCTGCATGAAGGCCAGCAGCGGCTCGCGGTTGACCTCCCAGAAGCGCGGCAGCTCGGACGCCGCCGGGTACTTGCAGCAGGACAATTCGAAGGTCACCTCGAAGCAGTCCCCGTGGAGGTAGTTGAAGTCTTGCATGCCTCCTGTGGATGGAAGGTATTGGAATTAAAATACACCTTTCTGCCAATTAGGCAAATATTTTCTCGTGGTTTCGCCCGCGTATTCACGCCCGCCAAAATATATGCGTGCATGAAGCATATTCTAACACTTAATTTAATAAAAGCTTTTGCACGCAATAGGCTAGTTTATTAAAAAAATTATAGTCCATCAATTAAATTATCAATCAAACAAGTAATTACGAAGTTATGGTGCATTTAAGTTCCGCGTGACGTCACAAAGTGCACAAACTTTTAAGCACTTCTTGACGTCACGGGGCTCTTCTTTTGATTTTTAGCGCGCTTTACCTCTTTCAATTTTCATTACTTTGAAAAAGTTTGAGTAATAAACTTCTAGAAGGATAGGATATTGGGAGATATATTATTTGATCAAGTTTGAAAATAACACGCTGAATAATTGCATCTTTCGAATTCTCACTGGTACTGGAATTCCCATTATATGATGTAAACATATAACTCTTTGAGAGATAAAAATACGCTTAAACGATTACAAACATCGCTTCGAATAAGGGTATTCCCTGTTCTCTGAATCATGACAGCATGACTTTTGCGCGTCATCAAGACAGGTTAAAAGGTTATCTGATAATTAATCCTACTAATAGTATAGAATTCACGCAAAAACTACTGAACGGATTTTGATGAAACTTTACAGTATTATTGATTATAACCCAAAATAACATAAAGGCTATAAATTATGACGATATGTGAAAAACTAAATTTCACGCGGGTGAACCCGCGGGCAAAAGCTAGTTATTAATAATTTGAGAGGTCCGAATGTTTACAAAGAAGATTGTATGTTAAACTAGGAATTATATATGTAGTTCGTGCCTCCATTCCAGAACCTTCTTGGAAACTTCCAGTACTGACGTACCTTTAACAGAGTACCAGTCGGCGCCGTTAGTGACTCCATCGGTGAAGTTGTCTGGTGGACAGGTGGTGCCCTTCCTCATACACTCGTGCTTGGACAGTCGTCTCATCTCATGGACATCTAGGAACTTTCTAGAACTGACCTTTAACAGAGTACCAGTCAGCGCCGTTAGTGACTCCATCGGTAAAGTTATCTGGTGGACAGGTGGTGCCCTTCCTCATATCCTCGTGCTTGGACGCGAAGGTATGTGCGAGGAGTTTGAACACTGCATCATCTGGTGCCAGGCTCTCTACGCAGCAGTCGCGGCCGGTGCTGGAAGAAGTAGTTGACATTAATTAATAATTCTAAGACTACATTTCAACCTAAGAATGTCTACTACTGGACATAGACCTCCCCCAAGGATGTCTACAACGACCGGTCCTACGCTGCCCGCATCCAGGCGCTTCCAACGTCCTACATTAGATCGTCAGTCCATCGAGTGAGAGGACTCCCTGTCTCTGCACTAAGTAGGTATTCTTAGACGCAGCTTCTAAAAAACACTATAAATAGACCTATAAATCGAGTTAGTGGCGGTAAGATTCCATGTATAGTAGCTTTCAAAATCAATAAATTGTCAGTCGATTGGCTTGGGACCTAATAGGGTCATACATAGTCCCCATTGTTGCTATAGAAAATCGGAGAGGGATATTGACAGCTCTTATATTATGTTAATCGACTAGGCCTTGTGTGTAAAGACACCTTGATTTTGAGTTCTATCCTCGTTTCCTCGTCCTACCCCAGGCCCAGGATCCTACAAATTGCAAAAAAGTAAGACCAAAAACTCACATAGAATCATCATAAGGATAGCTGGCCACCACCGCTCCACCATGCAGGTTTCCAGACAGCACAAACCGCTTGCCCATGACCCACTTCATCAGAGCCACCGTCTCCCGCTGTCGGTGGCCGAAGAGGTATTCCTCGTCATCAGAGCGGTCCACGTCGAACTGATCGGGAAAGTCCCGGTTCAGGTCAACCCCGTTTGCGTTGTTNGATGGACACTCATGTGCGGTAGAGGCAATGGACGTCCTATGATGATGATCAACTTGGCTGGTATGGTGGACCAACAGGAAGACTGTTGGTCCACCATGTGTCCCTTTGAGGCCATGTACTACGGTCTCGTGTTGATCCAGCACACTGCCTTTGATGTCCAGGTGGGAGTGATGCATAAAGATTAGCAGAATATTGGTCCGGCGGTCAGAAAAACCGTCCGCTTTTCCTAAAATGTCTAGAAGTTTCACCTTGACAATAGTATTGTAAAGGTACCTTGACCGGCTCCCCGTGTTGGTCCACCACGTGTCCCTTGATACCCATATGCGCGTGCTGCATGAAGGCCAGCAGCGGCTCGCGGTTGACCTCCCAGAAGCGCGGCAGCTCGGACGCCGCCGGGTACTTGCAGCAGGACAACTCGAAAGTCACTTCGAAGCAGTCCCCGTGGAGGTAGTTGAAGTCTTGCATGCCACCTGAGGATGGAAGGTATTAATTAAAATACGCCTTTTTGACCAATGAGGCAAATTTTTTCGCATTTCGCTCCCGCGTAAAGCATGTAATTTAATAAAAGTACTGCAACAGACTTTACTAAGAGGTTTAACACATTAGGATGATATTATTTATTAACCTAAATATACAGTGGCCTGCAAAACCAAGCATCACACCTTAAAAAAACCCTTCAAATGCTTTACTCTCATATTACAAAAGTTCTTGTGTAAAACAAAAAAAAACAGACAAAAAAAGGGAAAGAGAAAAAAAAAAGCTTTTGTTTTGGCTAGTTTATTAAAAGAACTTTTAGTCCACCAATTAAATTTTCATTAGTTTGAAAGAGTAGAGTAATAAACACCCAGAAGGAAAGGATATTGGGCGATATTTTATTTGACAAGTAGAAAAATAACGCACTGTATAACTTCATCTTTCGGGTTTTCACTGGTTTTGTTCTTACCAATTTTAATGATGTAAAACATTTATAACTTTTTGAGAGATAAAAAACCCCTAAAAGATAACAAACATCGCATCGAAATAGGGTATTCCCTGTTCTCTGAATCATGACAGCATGACTTTTGCGCATCATCAAGACAGGTTAATAGGTTATCTGATAATCTATATCTATCTATACTAATATTATAAATGCGAAAGTAACTCTGTCTGTCTCTCTTTCACGCCTAAACCACTGAACCGATTTTGATGAAATTTGGTATAGAAAAAGATTGAGTCCCGGGAAAGGACATAGGATAGTTTTTATCCTGGTTTTGAAACAGGGAAGCGCGATAAAGTTTTTCTGTGACAGACAAAAATCCACGCGGGCGAAGCCGCGGGCGGAAAGCTAGTTAATTAATAACTAAAATAAATTGAGAGAAATTGAGACGTCCGAATGTTTACAAAGAAGATTGTATGTAAAACTAGGAATAGAAGAAATATTCTGTAGTTCAGCAATAACACATGATAAGTGTTATCAAAGGTAGGTGTCCTTAGTATATTAAAGTTCAATGAATGTGTCAGATAAATCTACAATACGTATTGTGTTTGTAAGCCTAATGTTGCTTGCTTAAGTGAAGCAGCAAATCGAATGCACAGTGTTTAATAGAGCTCTGTGATTGGTTCATAGTCACCCTGTGCGTCCACGCGCACTGTGAGACCTCATAGTAATGTTTGTAAATACGGGGCGTAAGTATGTTGTAAGAGAGGCCAAATTCGTCGGTACATACGTGCCTCCATTCCAGAGCCTTCTTGGAATCTTCTAGAACTGACGTACCTTTAACAGAGTACCAGTCGGCGCCGTTAGTGACTCCATCGGTAAAGTTGTCTGGGGGACAGGTGGTGCCCTTCCTCATATCCTCGTGCTTGGACGCGAAGGTATGTGCGAGGAGTTTGAACACTGCATCATCTGGTGCCAGGCTCTCTACGCAGCAGTCGCGGCCGGTGCTGGAAGAAGTAGTTGACATTAATTAATAATTCTAAGACTACATTTCAACCTAAGAATGTCTACTAACTACTGGACATAGACCTCCCCCAAGGATGTCTACAACGGCCGGTCCTGCGCTGCCTGCATCCAGGCGCTTCCAACGACCTTCACTAGATCGTCAGTCCATCGAGTGAGAGGCCTCCCTGTCTCTATCATCATCAACAGCCCTTTACAGTCCACTGCTGGACTATGAGCCTCCTCCACTATAGTGGAGGGTTTTGCCATAATCCCCACGCTTGGCAGGCGGGTTGGAGATCGCAGTTTAAAAGATTGATGTTTTTCAGAGAGCGCTGCTGCCCGTTCTCTGTTTGATGTGTAGTCCCTAAGTCGCCTCTTACGACACCCGCGGGAAGAGTAGGGGTTGGTGACAAATGTATTCTACTCTGCCGTCACCACACGGCATACTAAGTAGGTATTCCTAGATGCAGCTTCTAAAAAACACTATAACTAGACCTATAAATCGAGTTAGTGGTTGTAAGATTCGATTTATAGTAGCTTTCAAAAGCAATGAATTGTCAGTCAATTGACCTAGCGACCTAATAGGGTCATACTAGTCCCCATTGCTATAGAAAATCGGAGAGGGATTTTGACAGCTCTTATATTATGTTAAATGACGAGGCCTTGTGTGTCAAGACACCTTGATTCTGAGTTCTTTCCTCGTCCTACCCCAGGCCCAGGATCTTACAAATTGCAAAAAAGTAAGACCAAAAACTCACATAGAATCGTCATAAGGGTAACTCGCAACCACCGCTCCACCATGCAGGTTTCCAGACAGCACAAACCGCTTGCCCATGACCCACTTCATCAGAGCCACCGTCTCCCGCTGTCGGTGGCCGAAGAGGTACTCCTCATCATCAGAGCGGTCCGCGTCGAATTGATCGGGAAAGTCCCGGTTCAGGTCAACCCCGTTCGCGTTGTTGCGACCGACGAAGTTTGGTAAGGATTCGCAGCCCTCCTGGAATATGAAGTGTAATAGGAGACATTTATTTACATGGTACAGTCGGCGCATTGGCGTATCTTAGCATGAGTCGGCGTCAAATAGTTCGTGACACCCAAAGTGGCCAAAAAGTTAATGAAACAACCTTATTCCAATTGTTACAAAGACGTGACTTTTTGGCTACTTTGGTTATCACAAACAAATGCTGACTGTACACATAATTTTATTTAGTTGTGTATTTAGGGCAACCTTCAAATTCCACGGTCCACCGTGTCTCTCTAAACTCTCGACATAACCAGTGTGCTTCAAATTCGCACCATTGAAGCTATTAGACAGAATAATAATAATAGAGAGATTTCTTCCAGACAACCTTGGGACAGTTGTTTGAAAAGGGGAAGATATTTCTTCGCAGTTATACATCAAATAATAAAGATAATTACAATATGAGTATTAGAGTATATGGAGATCTTGATCCCAGTGAAGACATGAAAAATCACTGTGTTATTGATACAAGTTTAATTTATCAAATCAACCTGAATCAGAAGATAAATATGATCCTGTGCTTCACTATACTTTATTTATTGAAGACGCATTAAGCTTTCAGCGATGTTGTAACAGTCCATATTTAATCAAAGAATGTGTTGTATGCTCAATAAGCAAACATTGAATAGTTTGACCTAGATATCTTTAATAACAGACAATAAACAGATTTTCTGATGACAAATTGATGTGTCTGTTAATATGAGGTTTGTGATTTTGCATGATATAATTTTTAATTGATTGCTGAATATAATTTTATAACTGTTTGTTTTTAAATAAAAATTTTGTCTAGTTATTATATTGTTAGTGAATGTTGTACACTTTTACGTCCAATACTCATTCATGTATGAATACAATTTTATTTGCTGGCTCTTATCAGAAAGAGTAATAATAAATCCAATAAGAAATTAAGTACTATTGTAGTACATTTTAATTAGTTCTCTATGCATTTAAGTTTTATGAAAGTTTTAATACAAAATTGTGAATATTTATTTTCTCAGCAATCAAATGACCTCCTCTTTTCTTTATAGGTCAATAAACTGAACACAATTAATTATTTTATCTGCATAATGATATTATGCATGCAGAGAACTTGACCTGTGTGCAATAAATACCCTTATTATCTATAGTTTATCAAAAGAGAAACAAACTCCTTGGTGCAAAGATAGTGTGAAATACGCGATTAATTTCTGAAGCAGTAAAATATGCCCTATTTTACAAGACTACCTAAAATAAAGGCATATTATAAGTAACACATAATTCAAAACTCGATTTTAACTCAATTCAATCATTCATTTGAAAAAAAGAAAGAATATTACTTTAAATAGGTAGTTAGAAACTTGGATTTGATAGTAAAATAAAAAAAAGAGAGAGAAAAGAAGTAAGGCTACATACAAAAGGAACATAGACATCAAGCTCAAGAATAAATTTTACTCAAATCTATTTGCGTAAAGAAGATACATAACAATGCTACTATAAGGTCATTTAAGTTTTTATACAAGTTATTGACCAAATCAACATAAAAAGCATTAACTGTACAGGGAAAAGTTATTAAGAAAATGACAACTAAATAATACAGATATTTTGAGGAAAAGACAGATACGTACCTAATATCAATATTTTATTCTTATAATAGTAATATTAAATGATGTCATTCCACAAGGACAAGTTGAGTATATTTGCGAGACAAACTTGCATAAAAATAAGTGATGTGTCAAATTATCATGAATACCTATGTATTTGCATGTATGGGTATAGTATAAAAAATTGTTAAGATGTTGAACTGGTATCTATAAGAATAAAGTAAGAAATTTAGTGAGCCAATCACATTTAAATAGCATGCAAATGCTTGCTTCACTTATCAGATAAGCACAGATTTATAAATAAATCTGTAAAAATGTTGTATAATTTATTTTATCTTTATGAAGTGAGGTTGTCTTACTTATCTATAGTACTAATGAAATATAATTCAAACTAAAATAATTATAGTACAGCATGTATGCAAATTATCAAGGCTATAAGGCAGAAAACTAAAAAGTTTAACTACACAAAGTTTAGAAACTTTCTCAAATATACAACTTTATAAGGAAGTAAATGTGCCATTGTAAAAGCCAGTCCATTTAACCTTGACTAGCTTATTTGTGCCCAGCTGCAAGCAGTTTACAAAAAGTAACAAAGAAATTGCTTTTTTAAGGCATAATTGGTTGGTATTGAGTACAAAATTGTGGAATATAAGAGTAAATATTAAATCAAAGAGTAACACTAAACTGTTGTGAAACTTTCATACCTAATTTTAGTCTTACCTTACTACTGTCAAAGCCATCAGGATTCAGAGACGGCATCAAGTGAATATCTGTGTTGTCCACCAGCGACGTGACTCTGTCATCTTTGCCGTAGTTCGTCAGCAGATATTTGGCCAAATCTATCACCAACTCCCGCCCCACGGATTCGTCTCCGTGCATATTGGCCACATACTTAAACGAGGGCCGGGTCTCATGGACCTGACCCACATCTTTCGTGATCTGGATCACCAGCAACTTGCGCCCTTCAACCGACTTCCCTATAGAATATACTTTCGCCAGTTCCGGGTACGATTTTACTAAATCGCCGAACACTTTCTCCAGTTCCGAAGAGCCTGTATACTGAGGTTTCGACTGGAACAATTCTTCATCCTTTTCCACAGTGCGTGGCGATATTTCTTTAGCAAACAGAGTCACTAAGACCAGAATAAGTAAACACGTGTGATGTAGCGCACCCATTTTACGCGAATGTTACCCGCCCTCTAATAAGAACACAGGGAAACTCCTATTTTATACATAAACACGCGTTATCGCCGTAAACATTGTACGGGGAACCGATATATTAATTAATGATTTGATAAGAAAAATGAATACAAAAGCAAATTACGCCCTCCGCTGACAGCTTGACTCACTCGCTGCCTGTCATTAGTGTCACTTTGACAGATGCCAGCCAGCCAGCCGTCAGCCAACAAAGCACGGTCCGAATCACACCATATCTGTGGTCCGAATCAATCGCGTCAGCATTTTTTTTGTACTAGAGTACTTATTATTATTCTGTTTTTCTATGTAAAATAATTGTGAAGGGAGTAAATGCATAATATGTTTGCTTTGCCAGCAAATTCAACAAATTAATGCAAGAATGAATTATTGGAAATTAATTATGTTTATTTTACTGTCGCAGAAATTAATAGGTATTAAGATTGTTATAGCTCGCTCGTCTTTATAATAAAAAAAACATGTATAAAAATAAAATGGCATTTTATTCAACTCATACCTTAAAATTCATATCACAAAATCTTGTGCATAGTTTGATAACTGAGGAACCTTAACTAAGAGCTGTATCTAACACTTACACATAAAAACAAGGCAAACCACCGAAATAAACATTACTATACAATAAATACAACATACGACCCGATTCTGTTATGTTCGCTATATCTTTTAGTAGGTAAAGGTCATTCTATCTCTTTTCTTCCTCGAGAAATGAAAAGGGATAGGACTCTTATGGCCTAAATGGAGGGTTGCTAAAAGGAGACAAATGTACTGACCTCTCATTTTCAGAAATAGCGAACAATTTCAGAACCGTTTCAATAGGCTCACTTAATGATAATGAACACAAATTACAGGCTTTATTGTAACAAGAACTTATTATGACGATTTAAAGCTGTTTTTCTTAAAAGCCCACAGGTTGTTTATTTATTTATGTCACCTTGGTTATGTGGGCATGTCTCCCGCAATTTAACATATAGCTTGTCAAGAGAGAATCAAAATACATTTAACCTTGCTATCATTAAAATACTAAAGTAGGTACTATTAGCAACAATAATAACTGTGTACACCAAAAATACTGAAAGGTACAGTCATATAAATGCATGTGAAGTTATTAAAAATTTGTCCAAAAACAATTTAACCTGGGATATGTTACTTTTCATGCTGACTGTAATTTAATAATAAACATCAAAATGAATTATTTTGTAGCACAAGCAGACGATTGTAAAACTAAGACATCAAAATGTCCACACATTACAGGAGTAAATGCATCCAAACGTATATACAGATTTGTATAAAATATACTTAAAATAAGGCACGTGACAAGTCACAACATGCAATTACGAGTTATACGCACTTATACGTAAGGTAGAGAATACAATGGCAACAAGTTACGGATTAGGCTGTATGTCCACTAATGGTTAAGTCAAATTGTGAAAGGATAGCCCAAATGTGGACATGATTTAATAATAATGTTAAAATTGATTGGCTCAGTGAAATATATTCACATAATGTATTGAATATACCGGCAAGAAACGCGAAAACATTGTAAAAAATTCGAGGTAGATGAATTGAAGTTATTTTAGAAAAAGAATACGTAGAAAAATTTAACATTACAAAATATATCTATCCCTCTCTCATTCAGGCAAGCATTTGAGAGTAAGTGAGAGAGATTTATTGTGTTATCAGAATGAAGTTATGTAGCCAAACGTCAAATGTGTAAAATTGCGTCAAAATTTTTATACAAAAATATGTTGAACTAATCAAATGTCCTTCATATCCCTCATTTTTCTACAATAAATACTAAAACTAGTAAGGACGGTAGAGGCAGCCATAATACTCAAGGGGTATATTACAAAAATACTGCTAAATACAAAAAGCTTACAAAAATAATATTTCATACCCTTTACATACATTTTGAAAAAGTTTTCAAATATTATGTGTGCGTTCTTCGCTTTGTTTTACATTTTGTGCGATGAAAAAACAGGATAAAGTCATGTTTGAAATGATAAATAGCTTATTATCAAAAATGTTGTAACTCTGGCCTGGGGGGAAAAAGTAACATAATTTAGTTATATTTATAAAAAAAATACAGCATTCTATCACTAGGGTAGTCTTACCCTATTGAATATAAAAATATTCACATAAGATTCCAAAATTACGTACGATTTTACAATTTTACTAAGACACCTTAAAGGCACATTTTTAAGAACACACCCACATCGTGAGTAAAGATCAAAATGAATCGATAATTTTACGATTTGTTAAAAACCATCGATGCTGCAATCGATTATAATAGAAGCATAACACTTATGGAAACTAGACAAGTTGGAAAACCTGTCAGTCTTGGGGCTATTTGGTCATGTAGCCTACCAAAGGAATATTAACCTTATTGCTGGGTCATAAGGTGAAAATTCTGGGAACCGATCTGTCAAGAATGTGTTGGCATTTGGCCGTGTGACCTGACAAAGGAATAGCAACCTTACTGCTCCGTCTTAAGATGTCAACACTGGAAACCGTTCGGGCCAGAATATGTGGCATTTGGCCAAGTGACCTGCAAAGGAATAAAAGTCTTAAGGCGGTTGCTAGGAACCAATCGGTCCAGTTTATGTTGGCATTTGGCCGAGTGACCTGCCAATGGAATAGGAACCTTACTGCTCCATCTTAAGGCGTTGTTGCTAAGAACCGATCAGTCCAGAATATGTTGGCATTTGGCGAAGTGACCTAGCAAAGGAATATGAACCTTATTGCTCCGTCTTAAGGCGTTGTTGCTAAGAACCGATCAGTTCAGAATATGTTGGCATTTGGCCGAGTGACCTGCCAAAGGAATAAGAACCTTACTGCTCCGTCTTAAGATGTCGACGCTGGAGCCGATCGGTCCAGAATATTTTGGCATATGGCCGTGTGACCTGCCAAAGGAATAGGAACCTTACTGCTCCATCTTAAGGCGTAGTTGCTAGGAACCGATCGGTCCAGTTTATGTTGGCNTTTGGCCGTGTGACCTGCCAAAGGAATAGGAACCTTACTGCTCCATCTTAAGGCGTTGTTGCTAAGAACCGATCAGTCTAGAATATTTTGGTATTTGGCCGAGTGACCTGCCAAAGGAATAGGAACCTTACTGCTTCATCTTAAGGCGTTGTTGCTAGGAACCGATCAGTCGATCAGTCCAGAATATGTTGGCATTTGGCCGTGTGACCTGCCAAAGGAATATGAACCTTATTGCTCCGTCTTAAGGCGTTGTTGCTAAGAACCGATCGGTTCAGAATATGTTGGCATTTGGCCGAGTGACCTGCCAAAGGAATAAGAACCTTACTGCTCCGTCTTAAGATGTCGACACTAGGAACCGATAGGTCCAGAATATTTTGGCATTTGGCCGTGTGACCTGACAAAGGAATAGGAACCTTACTGCTCTGTCTTAAGGCGTTGTTGCTAGGAACCGTTCGGGCCAGAATATGTTGGCATTTGGTCGTATGACCTGCCAAAATAATAGGAACCTTACTGCCCCATCTTAATATTTTTTTTCCACAACGAGGAAGCTCTTGGCCTGTATCTCACCTGATGGTAAGTGACGATCAGGCCGAAGGTGGAAGCGAGCTCACCCGGAATCCTCAACCATGGAGAAACTGGCTATCTGGATCTGGATATTGACGCTAGGAACCGATCGGTCCAGAATATGTTGGCATTTGGCCGTGTGACCTGCCAAAGGAATAGGAACCTTACTGCTCCATCTTAAGGCGTTGTTGCTAAGAACCGATCAGTCCAGAATATGTTGGCATTTGGCGAAGTGACCTAGCAAAGGAATATGAACCTTATTGCTCCGTCTTAAGGCGTAGTTGCTAGGAACCGATCGGTCCAGTTTATGTTGGCATTTGGCCGTGTGACCTGCCAAAGGAATATGAACCTTATTGCTCCGTCTTAAGGCGTAGTTGTTAGGAACCGATCAGTCCAGAATATGTTGGCATTTGGCGAAGTGACCTAGCAAAGGAATATGAACCTTATTGCTCCGTCTTAAGGCGTTGTTGCTAAGAACCGATGGGTTCAGAATATGTTGGCATTTAACCGTGTAACCTGCCAAAGGAATAAGAACCTTACTGCTCCGTCTTAAGGCGTAGTTGCTAGGAATCGATCAGTCCAGTTTATGTTGGCATTTGGCCGAGTGACCTGCCAAAGGAATAGGAACCTTACTGCTCCGTCTTAAGGCGTTGTTGCTAGGAACCGATCAGTCCAGAATATGTTGGCCAGGATGCCGGCGATCATCAGGGAGAAGTAGATGACGACTGCTGCCCACCAGAGGCGTTTTTCCCATTTTCTCTTCTCGAGGTTCCGGAGAACTCCGATTCCTACTAAGAGGCCTGTAATTAAATAAAATACAATTAATATTAGTATTTTGTGAAAGACACAAAAAACACATCGGTAATTCAAAGACCTTAACTTAGTGGCATATTTCATTTATCCACCCTAAGTTGGAAACTTAAAAATGCGTGTCCATCTAGCCGTTGAATCCTGAACAGGGTAGACATTCAAATTCAAACTCTTTATTGCACATTAACGCCCGTATTCACAAACATTACTATGTCTCACAGTGCGCGTGGACGCACAGGGTGACAGTGGGCGGGGCACATAGCTCGTAGGGACGATGGCCGTTGGGGCAGAAAAGTTCTCGTGGCGACCACGGGCTGGAAGACGTAGCGTGGGCAGGCCTCCTACTAGGTCGACCGTAAAGGTCGCGGGAAGAACCTGGATGCGGGCAGCGCAGGACCGTTCATTGTGGAAAACCTTAGGGGAGGCCTTTGTCCAGCAGTGGACGTCATTTGGCTGAAACGAACGAACGAATTATTAATGTGATGCCTATTGTCTTACCAGCGACAGCGCCAGCCAAGTGAGCCACATAGCCGATATTCTGCGTCGCGTGGCGCCAGTAGCGGTCGTACACCGCCGTGCCCACGTCCACAGCCGCCAGCAGAAGGAACACGAGCAGCTGGATAATCGCGAACTCCATCTCTGCCCAGTTCTGGAAAGCAGTAACAAAATATTAGATATCCGGCTTGAAGGACCAAAAAAGATATCCGGCTCGGAGCACCAAAAAAGATTCGGTTGGAAGTACCAAACATTTCACTATTTATTTTGCCCATTACTAATATTACCATACCATAAATCAATTTATTGCAAGTTATTATGTAGGTCTTAAAGCTAGGTTTTCCCAACCAAAGTTAGCATCTGGCTCGGAGGACCAAAACTTTTATGCAGCTTTATAGCAGAAAACTTTGCCCATCTGTAATGATACCGCGATTATTATAACAACCGACAGCGGTTTTTACTAGTCATTTAAGTTACACTTCATAAAATGGTCTTGCTATTATCAGAAGCAGTAACCAGAGGTGGAATTGTGTAAAGCAATCGTTATCATTTGGCAGTTCATAACGTACGATTATTCTGTCAAACGCTTTGTTTAACTGACTTTATCGTACGTTATGAACTGTCAAATGATTACGATTGCTTTACACAATTCCACCCCAGGACATCATTAACTTCAGAAACTCGGTAATCTTGTTTCTTTAGTGGGTTGATAATTCTGCATGTCGCTTATGCAACTGGTAACCACTACAAAAATAAGATTTCTGACCATTTTGTGTGGCACACTTAAGATTTCCAATAAGTTTGATAGATTTACTCTTTATGGCCGCGAGCTATAATAGGATAACGTTAAAGGAGTACGTTTACACTGTCAAACCAGTTCTGCATAGAGGTGGGCGCCGATATAGAATTAGCCGGCGGCGGCGCGCCGACTTTTTGGCTTCGGCGGCGGCGGCGTCGGCGGCGTGACCTTGACCTTTAACCTTGACTCATTATTTCTTTAAAAAAATTTGTTTAGAGTCATCTAGACTATTATCAGGTAATTGTATCTTGTTCAGGGCCGCGCATGAGCGCAGGCACGTCGACCCTTTGGGATCTTTTGTGCGCCCCCATACCTTTATTCCCCTCTCATCCGTGAAAGCCTATCCATAAAGCGAATCAAGTGCTTGGGTGAGAGGGACCTATTTCTGGTGCCGGATATGCCGACCCCAAGAGACCAATTCTAGTTTTCGCTGGCGCATCGCATTCGCACAGTAGTTATTTCATGGAGTCTGCATGTTCTCCACATGCTCGACAGCTGTCGTTAAGCCCATCTTGTGAAGCATGTGNAAAAAAAACAAATAGTCAGTGCAGTATAGGAGCCGGCGCGCCGACAGCCGATCGTCGGCGGCGGCGGCGTGAAAAATTTCGCGGCGGCGGCGGCGCGCCGGCGTGGCGCCCACCTCTAGTTCTGCAGTTCAAACGACCGTATTACGAAATTACATTACCTACACGTAAAATAAATTGTAGCCGGTGATTGTTTATTATGTTGAAACCAATAATTTTATGCATGATTTTGTATACACACCCCCAAAACACTATTTATTATTTTTTGCCTATTCGCATACATACTATAATCAGGTATTTGCTCAGTCCTTTTTTTTAGGATTATAATCATCTAAAAAAGTTTTCCGTGATTTGAACAACTACTTCAACCCTTATTAAATAATAACAAATGTTATAGTACGAAGACTTACCATTATGATAGTGGCTATATGCGCAGCAATCAGCGCGTATACGCCTCCCGAGGCTCCGGCCAGGTAGACCTTGGGGTCTGTCAGGCTGGTCGCCAGGGAGCCGGCAGCCACCCCGGCCAAGTAAACCAGGACCACTCTCCACCATCGGTGGACCATCTCCAGAGGCACTCCGAGGAACAGCTGGACGAGTAGATTGACTAGGAGGTGCACCACTCTGGAATAGAGAGTTGTGGAGCGTTTAAGATGCGCTTATTTCACTAATTACGTTAAAAATTAAATACTCATATAACGGGGATAAATGAACTTTTTAGTTCATTAATCCCCATTATAAGCTCCATGCTGTTAACGGGGATTAATGAACAAAAAGTTCCTAATCCCTGTTGACGGGGATTGTCAACGGGGATTAGTGGAATAAGCCTTAAGATGGAGTAGAGGAGCAGAATATTGAACACTGGTCTGCGCTGTTCTTGGCGTATCGAAATCGCGTATTTCCGCATCGCTGCGTTTGGCTTTTTTATGTTTGGTCACAAGATTTAGATTTCGACAATGTGTTAAATCACTGATAAAAAAGTACAGTCACGGAATAAAAAGGTTCGTCAGTTTTCAAATTGAATCCTTCAACGAATCGCGAGCACATGTTACCTTTTGAAACTATGTTACAGAATAATCTCGAGTTAGAGAAAATAATCTTTAACTGTTCGTCAGTAAAGTTCAAAATTATTCAGATCAACGTTGTTTGACGATTTATCTTGTCAAAATTATTATGATTGATAAACTAAAACCTTCTTGTTGGTTCAACCTGCCATTATTATTTCTATTAAATAAAAAAAACTACATTTTGTAACATTGCATGGGATAGAAAATTAAACAAGTAAAACCTTATTCGTTAGCAAACGTCATATTTATTTAAATGTTAGCAGCACTGTTTCTTGCACTGTTATGTTGGCAGGTTTGACTCTTACAGTACCTAGTGCAAGCGAAAACCGACACTAAGGTGACGAACCTTTTCATTCCGCGACTGTACAACTGGCGTAGGCACGCTCACTTAAGGTAGGTATATTTGACTGAAGCGAATTTGATGATCTTGCAAATAGATAGCAACTCAAGAAGTAGTTTACAGCAGGAATTTAGGATATTTCTGTCATGAAATAAGAGCACTGCCCTAAGCCAGGAAATCCCTAAGGATTTCTTCGTGCTTCAATTATTAAGGTTACAATAAAGAGAAAGAATAACTCACCCAACGTGCACCAGCATGTACGTCAGAAATCTCCAGGCTTCATTCCTTCGATGCGGGTTGTATATAAACAGCTTCGCAATGGGTCCGTTCGCGTCCGTGTTGCCATGCACCGCATCGTACACGAACAGAACTATCTCCACCAGCGAGATGATGATCATGCAGATTGCAGGAGGCCAGCAACTGTACTCCTCCTCGTACGTACCGTCTGTGTACGTGAAGATTGTATGGCTACGGGGCGTACTAGGGACTGCTTTACGCAACACAACAGGGGATAGGTTAGGTTAGGTTAGGATGGGCCGGGAGTTTTGAGGTAGGATGTGTTTCATTCGTATTTGATTTAATTAAATTATAATGAAGAATCAAAACCCGATTGAGTTTGAAGTTATAAATAGCGTCATTCCAAATGCAATGAATTTTAAAAGGGCGTTAAAGACATTTCGAAATAGCAATTGTGCAATTGAATAGTTTGTCAACAATGGCACCAGGAATAGGTTGCGGTTCACGCGCCGGACGAGTGCCGGGGGTGAATGAGGAACATATTAACCAATTAGACCACGTTTGAAAGGATAATGGGCATTAATTGGACAATAGCAACCGGCCAGCGGAATGGAAATTTCGTAAGACGTGGTTTGAGAACAATTTAAGAAAATGGCGCGGATTTACGGTTAGTATCATATTTTTACAAGGATTTTCATTTATTTATTTACATATTTTGGAAATTGTAATACAGGGTGGGTAAACAAAGGACGGACAAAACAAACAAACAATAGGAATGGAAAGAAAAAAAAAATCAAGTTAGTAAGTTCCATGCATATTTTGTGTTAATGAACTAATGCATTATGGACAAGTTAGCAAGTTAATGAATATACAAGGGCTAACACACGTTTAGAATTAATTTGATTACTAATACAAAATGTGTCAGCATTTCTCAATATATCACAATCGGTTTCTTGAGAAATTATACTCATTTAGAAATAGAATCAAATGTAAACAAACCATCATTGACAGTAACATGCTTACTTTTACTTTGTGCAGCTCTATTAACACCTGATTCACTCTCATTAATGTATTATTTGTCAATCACTTAGTTGTTATTACTTGCAATTAACATGTCCAGCCATTTCTTAATTACAAAATCACAAATAGTATGATTATTGTTCAATAAATAATTGTGATTACTTTGAGAAATACTGAAACATTATACAGTTTAATTTACAGAAAATTCTTGATGAGACATCATTTTAACAAACGTTACACCACCACCTTGAACTCGTGACCATGCTAGACACAATAACAAACTGTACATGCAATGAATGTGTATAGTATCATTGTATTACTTAAATCATGCTTGCAATCTCTTGCTATGCAACCTAACTTATTATAAAACACTAGTTATAAATATTTTCTTCACGGAAAAGTTTAGCAACGATGACGCTTTAAATTTCCCACTTAGCATCTACAATAGTTTATAAAGATGACCTTAATTTCTTTGATTATAGTGAGAATTTTGACCTATCAATAAGAAAACAAACATACCAAAGTATTCGATGACGTGCTTCAAACACTTCAGAACTTTATCCCATAATCTAAGACAATTTCTAGACAACTTAGAGCACTGTTTAGTCCGTTTACATGTTTTGCACCACATCACTACTGGCCAATATTACAATCTTTTTGGTTCAAAAAGTTTCAATTCCTTTTTTGACATGTTCGAACTTTTTTTTGAAAATTTAAGTTCGAATTTTGAAATATTTTAGCATGCAACGGTTCAAATGTTCAATAGACGTGCGCCTGAGTGCGGCCAGCGGCTGATACTATGGAGTCCCTTCACTGGTTGCGCGTGTGACGTCACGGTTGATCGGATGCGCCAGCGCAGGCCGTGTCGATAGTGACATTATGCCATTAATGGCAGTCATTTGGATTAATTACTTCACTTGTGTATAGGTAGTTAATCGTGATACGGTTTGTTATTATCAAAAAGTAGGGATGATAAGACTAGTTAAACTAATAAAGCCAACATAATAAGATAAGTGAGCTTAATGGCTGGTTTCTAATAAGCATCGATGTTTTAAAACTTCATCATATTGAGGTCCTATAACCGTAGCTATTATTACATCAATAGGAGCGAGTGTTATAAAATGTAGAACTTACAAGATCCTTATTAGGCGAACCTACCTTATTTATATTCAGTCTTTTAAAATTGTAGGTACCTAATTGATTTTCAAGATACAAGCCGAGTCTAATATGGGAGAGAATAGTTTAAGTATACAATTTTATTTTTACTTGATATTTTTATGGAAAAATCAACTCAATATTAGGTCAATCTATGGATTGAAGGAAAACCACAAATGTATATGCGCTGAGATTAATTTTTATAGCATAATGAAAACCACGATGCTTCACAGCGATATAAACCAAGGATGAGGAAAACCTTTATGTTGAAGACTCGTTTTAATAATTATGATAACACAGACGTTAATATAATTGGCTCTATTGAAGCAGCGGCTTCTAAGCTGTTACTTTTGCAGAGTAGTGTTTAAAGGAAAAGTGACTGTGTTCCTTTAAATTTGAGAATTGAGTAATCTTGAACCCAATGTAAGGTTCATATTAGGAAACAAAGTTAAATACATAAACATTCAACTCTGTGGTTGAATTTAATAAGTATTAATATCATTAATTAATGGTTTCAAAACACAGCATCTTTAACAAATACAAATGTTGGTCCTAAAAATGTTCAATTTTCATTTGTTGCAAAATTAATATTTTATCGATTTCACATTGAATCTAATGAGGATCATTTCGATTTTTAGCTATGAATGCAGATTTATAGGGCTAAGAAATCCTTAATACACAGTCCAAAAATTTTTGTTCTACGACAAAAATTGACGAAGTTATGGCCAAATTACTAAAAAAGTTCACTGACCGCCCGGCGCGGGGACGATGACGTCACTATATTCGATCCGAACGCTGCCGGCGTNAAACTAATAAAGCCAACATAATAAGATAAGTGAGCTTAATGGCTGGTTTCTAATAAGCATCGATGTTTTAAAACTTCATCTTATTGATGTCAATTGCGCATATACTTAGGTCCTATAAACGTAGCAACTAGGTATTATCAATAGGAGCAAATGTTATAAATGTAGAACTTATAAAAGCCTTATTATGAGAACCTCATTGATTATCAAGATACATGCCGAGTCTAATATGGGAGAGAATAGAGTTTGTAGTTTGTAGTATATTTCAGTTTAAAATGATTAATTAGGAAATACCATTTTATTTTTACCTGTTCTTTTTATGGAAAAATCAACTCAATATTAGGTCAATCTATGGATTGAAGGAAAACCACAAATGTATATGCGCTGAGATTAATTTTTATAGCATAATGGAAACCACGATACTTCACAGCGATATAAGTCAAGGATGAGGAAAACCTTTATGTTGAAGACTCGTTTTAATAATTATGATAACACAGACGTTAATATAATTGGCTCTAAGCTGTTACTTTTGCAGAGTAGTATTTAAAGGAAAAGTGATTGTGTTCCTTTAAATTTGAGAATTGAGTAATCTTGACCCCAATGTAAGGTTCATATTAGGAAACGAAGTTAAATACTTAAACACTTAACTCTGTGGTTGAATTGAATAAATATTAATATCATTAATTAATGGTTTCAAAACACGGCTTCTAACAAATACAAATGTTGGTCCTGAAAATGTTCAATTTTCATTTGTTGCAAAATTAATTTTTTATCGATTTCACATTGAATCTAATTGTTTTTTACAGTTGACAGTAGGTAGAGTAGACTTGTATAATTCGAACCAGCGGCATTGCACTCCAACTGGAGTTGTGGTCATGTCACCGTATCACTGTGATCTCTTTCACAACATGGCTGACCTTCCTCAATTTGTCCTAACCATTTGACGAACTACAAATTGGATGATGCCCTTTGACTCTTGAACGACAGGTCAATTTTATTTAATAAACGTCTTTTGTAGTCAAGATTTATTCTTATGAGGCCAAGTCAAGGATATTGCCAATTAAATATTGTAGTATGAAGAAGAAGGAAAAAGAAAAAACAGAAAAAAAAATAGATTTGATAAAATCTAAACCAGAGTTAAAGAAGATAAGTTTTGCAAGAGCATGGAATAAAAAATTAATCAACCGAACATGGTATACAAATCATTCATGTAATTTTTAATTTGATTAGCAGGTGCATCATATTGCATTTGAAATCATGTACTTAGATATTAGTTTCAGTTTTGTATTAGGATGATTTCGTGAAAAAAGAGTCAACTAAAATATTAACTGTTATTTAGTTGCAATGCTTGAAAATTATTTCATTACGGTATTTAAAAGTTATCTGGCATTTAGATTGATAAGTGGATAGTGTTGTAAGTCCGTATTATTATGTTTAGATTAATATCACAACATCCAAATCCTGGTTATTAGTGTTAAACGTAGCCTCTTTACCCACGAAGTCTACGAAGCCCAGGCCCATCTCTGGGAAGCTACCGCGGCGCTCCCCACGCTCTTCGTTCAACATAGATGCGTTTATTCGAACTAAGCGCTCTCTTCTTCCTATAGCAAGCAGAATATACATTTTTATTGGCGGTGAAGCTGTAGAAGTCTATTCCTGTAGCGGTGGGAACGAGAGGTGGGAATAGTCCCGTTATCGAGGTTTATCGATTTAAGACGATCATTCTAAGACAACGATGGGATTTTATCCTGTCAGGCATCCTAGCCCGGTAAGTCATTAGTATCCACTGAAGGAACATACATAACCTCTCCAATTTATCACAGGCATAGGCAAATGGATTTCGTCTACACCAATTAGGGTAAGGAGCGGCAAAATATGGAGAAACAAGTGAGTGGAGAGAAATCAAGGGTCAGTGGTAGGGGCAAGTGGCGACTACGAGCCGAAAGACGTAGTGTGGGTAGGCTCCTTACTAGGTGAACCAACGATTTGGTGCAGGTCGCTGGAATTACCTGGATGCGGACAAGGCAGAACCGGTTACTATGGAAATCCTTGAGGGAGGCCTTTGTCCAGCAGTGGACAAAGGGTGAAACGAACGGGGAGCGGCATGCAAAGTTATCGTAAGTGTAACATCGAAGGTCGACAGATACATGATAAGATACGGATAAAACGGATTACTACATCAGTTTATTGTAAATATTCGGATTCGGGGAACCGAAAATTGCGGTGCTTATCTTACTATACTATTTGTTTTATTTACAACACCGTAACGTCGAAA